CTGCACGATTGAGATGCTCTGTCACCTCATAGTGCCTCTGGCCAACCCAGACCCGCAACATGGTAATCTTCAGGTCTCGGACTGCAGCCCAGCTGGGGAGCAACCCAATTCTCCGCTGCGATGACGCCCGAGGACGGCGGCGCGCAGGATGGTACTCCAGGCGCCTGGCAGCCGCCCAGGCCGGAGCCTGTCGTCCAGGTGAGTGCGCGTATCGGCGTGCCTGGGGATGAGTCACGACTGCATGCCACCATGCACATTGCAGCTGGCGATGGGCACAGGAGCCCGAGATCCCACTGTGCAGTACTTGAACCCCCCGCCACACTCCATTCGACCCCATGATGCCAGGCCCGGCCAAGCGAAACCTCCACTCAGCCACCACCCTCATTGGGCGGCGTCAGCTCATCAGCTGTACCTCCAGAGGTGTGGCTTGTTGTGATAAAACCTGCACTGGGCAGTGGGGTTTGCATCTGAGGACTGGTCCCAAACACAGACCTCTGACCATCGAGTGCGCATGTGAGCAGCTTGCTCACCCCGCATGCTCACCCCCAGGAGGTCTTGGGTGGGTACAAGGATGCACCTGCCGCGCTGGCCGCCGCCGAGAACTATCGGCGCCTGGCCAGCGCCGCCGAGTCCGCAGCAGCCCGCTTCTCGCGCGGATCCGGCGCCGGCGACGACTCTGGCGCCAGCCCCGACGGCGACAATGGACGTGCCCCCGAGGGCGGCAATGGCGGCGCCCCGTCCAGCGGCAGCCCCCCAGGCTTTGTAAAGCGATCCAACAGCGAGATCAGGCGGGCATACGACGCCGCGCCCGGCTACCCCAGCAAGGGCGAGATTGCGGCCCCAGGCCCACCCTCCGCCCCCCCTGCGGCGCCCGGGCCAGGTTCGCCAGCGACGGGCGAGGACGCGCCCAGCCCCGCCGCCACGCGGCCTCAAGGCACCCCCCCTCCCCCTGGCAACGACGAGCTGGAGGAGCTGGAAAGTTTGACAAAGAGGTTTGAGGCGCTGAAGCGCCGCTGAAAGAGGAAAGCAAGGGAGCAGAGGGGCGACTCTCTGTGGCCCATCACCCTCTATTCTGTTCGGTGTCCCTTGCCCATCCTCGTTGGATCTCAACTAACACCTGGCCGGCCAATAACACGCCTGTTGTCAGTGTACAGTACAAGTCGCCTCTGGGTGCTGCGGAAAATCATCGGGCGGGGGCTTTAGGGGAGGGGTCACGCGTCATCTCTGCGACGGGGAGCTCCTGGGCTGGCGGCCTGGCAGGCACCAGGGTCATTGCCAGGAAGCCGACCAGGATGGTCAGCCCCCCCGCGGCCGTGAGCAACAGTGGCCAAAAGGCACGCAGCCAGGCGGGGGACCTGAACAGAGCGTCGGCTGTCACGGCCAGTGGGATCTGGAGGGACAGCCCCGCCGTCGCCAGGGTGGGGCCTGGCAGGGGCCAGGGTGGCACGATGAGGTCAACAAAACTGTTGGAGGATCAGAAACAATTTGGCATGCCTTTGCTTTGCACTGGCAGGGCATGCCGGTCTCATGGCTGCCTTCCTCAGGATGCCAAGGAACATTCAACAAGTACTCTGTGACGGGGCCAATCTTCCTTCCCGACCTAATGATACTGCAAATTCCGATGTCACCCTCCCTGTTCTCACCGATGAGAAGGATGGCTCTGGCCCACAGGTAGTCGGAGAGCACATTGTCCAGCAAGCCCTTGGCCACGATGGCCCAGAAGACGGGCCAAGTCAGCGTGCCCAGCCCGGCGCCAGCGAGCAGCGCGACCAGGCCCAACGCTGCGCCGCAGACGAAGATGATGCTGCCCATGTACCCGAAGAACAGCAGCACGCTCGTCTGTGTGTGTGTATGGGGGTTGTTTGGGGGAGGGGCCGCGGAGTTTGTGGGGATACAGGAGGCGCTGCGGTGTTTATGGAGCACCGGCAAGCTGCCGTCATATCAAAAGACGCCGCCGTCAGCGACCCTGCCTCATGGCTGCAGTATCATGCATGATTCCCCCCCTCTTTCCTCCCCCGCCTCACCGTCTCGTCCTCGCCCAGCATCCTGCGAATCGCCACGGTGTAGGTGCCGTAGAGCAGGGCGCTCAGCAGGCACAGCGCGTCGCCCAGCAGGCTGCCCCGAGCCGCCGCGGCGTCGGGGCTAGCCAGCTCGTCGGCCAGCGCCACGCCGGCGGTGCCCAGGATGAGCAGGGCGATGCAGCCCAGCTTGCGCAGCGTATAGCGCTCGGAGAGCAGCGCGACGCTGAGTAGGTAAGTGAAGAGCACGGAGGTGGAGGAGATGAGGGTGTTGCTGGTGACGGAGGTGGAGAGCAGGGAGGCGTTGAAGGTGAACTGAGCCAGGTACCACACGGGCGCGACCTGGGCGGGAAGGGGTTGTTTGTTTGGGAGGGGGGTGGGGAGGTGAGAGTGTCTGATTGGGAAAAGAAGCAAGGGTCCCTTGCTATACTGCTGCGGGGGTGATGCACATTGACGTGGTGCAGCAAGGAAGGAGGTCAACTAGTCCAGGGCTGCGGGCTCTGCCGAGGTCCTCAAAGGCTCATGTACGACGAGAGATGGGGCCTGTGGGGCTCTAAACCCTCCCACATAAAGGGTCAAGCCACTCACCACCACCGAGGCGTTGAAGGTCTGCCAGGCTGTGATCTGCGCGGGCGCAGCCTCCTCCACCACCAGCAGCGCATGCCGTTGCTGGGCACCCCCCTCGAGGCCCGGCGGCCCATCGAGCAATACCCGCTCCGGGGCCGCCCGTGTCGCCACGAGCCTGCCCCGCTCCTCTTCATCATGTGGCAGCCCAGCTGCCAGTCGCCCGGCACGGCCGCTCAGCCAGGCCTTGAAGTAGTACAGGGGCAGGTACAGGGCGAACAGACTGTTGGCGATGTAGGTCAGCACCGCGGGCTTGGCGCCAGCCGCCTGTATGTCCTGGACCACGAAGCTGGCTGCCACCCAGATGGAGGCCACACACACCACGAAGAAGAGCCCGGTGGTGGCCCGCAGGCTCAGCCCCAGGCGCGCCGCGATCCAGGCGTGTGGAGAAGCCATGGCCTCGGGCAGTGCCGGGGCCCCACCTGCCAGTGAGGGCGTGCCAGTCTGCCTCGGGGGCGCCCCCTGGCGACGTGCCTACTATACTTTGCCTCCCCTCATGCCCATCGATTGGACTGTCGTGCGAAGGACTCTGTGTGACGAGGAGGGTTGCGCCACGCGTATATCTGGACGAACCAGCAAATCGGACCAAGCTCGCGCGCTGGCGCCCGGGATGATTGTCCCACAAGAATCTCAGCCCACCAAACTCTTCGCTTGTCACTGGGAGTTTATGGACCGAACTGTCTCACGACGTTCTGAACGCTATATTTCACGGTCGATCCGGTCGGTGCAAAAGTGTCCCAATCATTCTGTCAGGTCAGGCTGTCACACTCAAAAGGGGTCCGAGGGTCTGGCAAGCGACGTCCCAGCGTCGCGCTCACACCAAAAGTCACGCGAGGGGCTCCAGGCACCGCAGCGTCACTCCGCGCCGGGCCTCCTGGAGGGGGCCATGCGGACGTTGCCCGCGCCGTACAGGCGCGCCAGCTCCTTCATGGCGTGCTCCTCCTTCTGGATGGCGGCCATCGAGCGCACCGGCGCCACGGCCTCCTCCGGCACGTACCACTTCCCCGGCGGCGCGGAGTGCGGCGAGCTGCCCAGCAGCTGGCGGCCGCCGCCCGCCGCGCCAGGCGTCGCGAGCCCCGGCCCCGCCCGCCTCCGCTGCTCCACGCGGCTCCACTGCTCCTCCAGCACCTGCTGCATGGAGGGCGCGGGCGCCGGGGACGGCCCCGACGTGCCCCCCGCCGTCTTCCAGGAGGCCCCAGCCCTGAGCGAGCGCGAGGCACCCTCCCCACCCTTGAGGAAGGCCGCCAGGGGGAGGCGCTGCGCGGCGCCGCCCTCCTCGCCCCGCGCCGGGACGCTGGAGGGGGGCTGCTCCGGGGCGGCGGGCCTCTTTGAGGCCGTGGGCCGCTGGGCAGTGGGGCCCGGCGAATCGGCCAGGCTCAGCGACGCGGCCTGCGTGGCCACGCCGGCGACGCCGGTGCAGGAAGGCACGGCGGGCCTGGCGCCACCCCAGGCAGGCCCAGGGGAGGTCGACGTCGGCGGCGGCTGCGGCCCTGGCTTCGAGCGCGTGGGCGCATCCAGCTCGCCCTTCAAGAACAGCGACAGGCCGCCTGGCGTAGGGGTTCGCGCGAGGGGAGGGACGTCTGTGATCCGACCCCTCGTTCCCGTCCAGCAGGCTTGGACAACCCAGCCCCGGTGTCCAGCACACCATGCTCCCCTCCCCCCAACCGCCCTCACCTCGTCGCTCGGTGGCCTTGTGCCGCACGGGTGCCTGGGGCGACGCCCCGCTCGTCCCCGGCCGCTCTGGCCAGGGCGCGACCCGGCGTCGCCCCGGCCCGACGGAGCAAACCCGAGCTGCACCACCCTGGCGGGGGGCGCGGAGGCCGGCACGATCGCGGGCAGCGAGGCGCTGGGTGGGGGCTCGGGTTCCGCCGCGGCAGGGATGACCGCGGCACGCTTGCAGCCGGCGGCGGCCCCCCCCGCGCAGACCCAGTCTCCCTGCCGCCCGCCTTCGCCACGCCGGCGGGCTCGGCGGCGACCCCCCTGGACGCCAGAGCCCCCGCGACCTCCTTGGCACCCTTCCTCGCGGCCTCGGCCCTGCCATCACCGCCCTCTTTCTCGTCGCCAGCGTGCAGGATGGCCAGGGCCTGGTCGGAGGGCACGCCCGCGGCCAGCGCGGCGGCGGCCGCCTCATAGCAGGGCGCCGCCGCCAGCTTGGCGGCCTGCTGCGCGTCCAGGCGCTCGCCCGCGCTCCTGCGCGCGGCCAGCACGCCGACCTGCTGCAGCTTCTTGGCCAGCGTGCGTGCCAGCCGCGCCCGCGCCGCCTCCTCCAGCGCCTCGCCGGCGGCGCGGAAGCTGGGCGGCGACCCCGCGCCCAGCGGGACGGGGGTGGGCAGGGGGCTGGCCAGCCCCGGCGCCCCGCGTCCGCCCGCGAACTCCAGCGTCGCCGGCGAGGCCGCCACGCCGCCGTGCGCGGTCGGCCAGGGGTAGTGCGCGCCCGGCGCCCCGTCGCCCCCCGCCGCCGAGGCGCCGCCCCTCCTCCGCGACTCGGCGGCCCGCAGCGCGGCGCCCATCTCGGCCAGGACATGCGGCGGAAGGCGGGCCAGGCCCGCGGCGTCGGCCGCCAGGCACGCGCGCAGGCTGCCCAGCGCCACAGACAGCGCGTGCGCGCGCAGCAGGCGCGCGCCCATGCTGTCGGCCGTGCCCAGCACGCGCAGCGCGCTGGCCGGGGTCACGTAGGCTGCGCCCACCAGCCGCTCGCAGAGGTGCTGCAGGGGGGGCGGACCCCGCGCGGTGCTGGACTCCTCGCCCTCACCCCCCTGCGCAGGACTCGATGCCACGTCCCTGGAACTTGGCGTGGGGGCCCCAGGGGCCCCAGGGCACGTGGCTCGGGCAGCCCCCAGCGCATCCCCCGATTCGGCACCGACCGGGGGGTCTGCCTCGCCGCCGGCGGTCTCGCCGGCCGCGCCGAGCGCCGCTGGGGCGCCTCGACACGCGTCCGCCCCCTTGCGCTCGGTGCAGCCACCGCCGCTGCCACCATCCCCGTCGGCGTCCGGCAGCTCCAGGGTGTACCACTCGTGCAGCGCGAGCGTGTGCTTCTCGCCCACGGCCACCGCCGTGGCCCCGGGCAGCCGGTTCACGCGCTCGGGCAGGATCTCGGGGGGCGCGTCGCCCTCGGCGCCGGCCGCGCCAACGCCAGCGTTCCCGGGCGTGCCCAGGAGGCGGGCGGGACCGGGGCTGGACCCCGGGCTGGTCCCCAGCAGGGGGCTGCTGTCGCCGCGCCGGGGCGCACTGCCGCCGGCGCCTTCGTGAAGGGAGGCGCCGTTCGGGGCGCGCCCGTGCTGCCGCCCCGCCGCAAAGCGCTCCATATACGACCCCGCCTGGGGCGCGTGCGCCGACCCCAGCGACCTCCCCGTCGGCGAGGTGCCTGCAGTGTTCGGGGAGGGGGACGTCGGGCTGGAGTGGCGACACATCGCGAGCCAGAGGGCGCATGCAGGGAGGCCACTCCGCCCTGAGCGCTCCTGCTCGCCGCCTCGACGCCCATGCTCGCCACTCTGAGGACCTCCTTGCCGGGCCCCTGTTCCTGCGATCACAAGGGCACCCCACCGACCACCCTCCTACACTCACCGAGGGGGGAGGAGCCCAGGACGCGCGCATGAGGGCCCACCTGCACGGGCCTGCCGCGCTGGGCGCCCTCTCCCACCGCCACCCCCGCTGCCCTGCGCTTGCCCTCGCGCGCGTTCCGCGCGCCGGCGGGGAAGTAGTCGGCGCGCCCTTCCCAGCAGAAGACGCTGCCGTCGCGCGTGACGGCGGCGGTGCGGTACTTCCCCGCCGCCACGTGCACGACGTGGCGCCCGGCCAGCGCGCCGCCCACCTCCCGCGCCTGGAGCAGGGGGTCGGCGGAGCGCCAGCACAGCACCACGCCGCTCGCGGTGAGGGCGCAGCTGTGCGCCGCGCCCGCGGCGATGGCCGTGGCCACCGGCCGCGCGGCCTCGCCGTGCCCGCGGTGGAAGTGCAGGGGCGCGCCGTCGGGCGCGGCCACGTCGCGCGCGCCGGCCAGCGGCACGCGCCGCGGCGACACGCCGCAGTGCCCCCAGGCCAGCACCTCGCCGTCAGCGGTGAGGGCCAGCGTGTGGCGCTTGGCCGCCGCGACGGCCACCACCGCGCGGCCGCGCAAGGCCTCGACGGCGCGCGGCGGCGCGGCGGCCCCGGCCTCGCCCGCGCCGGCGCGGCCGTAGCCCAGCTGGCCGAGGCCGTTGGCGCCCCAGGTGAACACCTCGCCCCCCGCCGCCGCGGCGGCCGAGTGCTTGTTGGCAGCCGCCAGGTCCAGCACGCGCGCGCCGCGCAGCGCGGGCACGCGCCGCGGCGTCGGCGCGGTGTCCACCCCGGGGATGCCCAGCTGGCCGTGCCGGTTGCTGCCCAGCGCCCACACCTCCCCGCCCTCGCCGCGCAGCAGGGTGTGGTGCTTCCCCGCCGCCAGGCCCAGCACGCGCAGCGTGGCCGGCAGCGCCACGCGGCGCGGGGCCAGCACGGCGCTGGACCCGCCATGGATGTGGGCCTCGGGGTGGCCCAGCCGCCCACCCCGCCCCCAGCCCCAGGTCCAGACCGCGCCGTCGCGGCCCAGCGCCACGCTGTGGAACTTGCCCGCGCCGACGCGGGCCACCTGGCCGCCGCCCAGCCCGTCCACCGCGCCGGGGTCGGGCTGCACGCCCACACACCCCGTGCCCAGCGCGAAGTTGGCGCCGTCGCCCCAGGCGTAGAGCGTGGCGCCGCGGGGGGGGCGCCGCCGCACCGCGCGGCGGGGCCGGGGAGGAGGTCGGGGGGCGTGCGGCCGCGCGCGTCGCGCGCGCCCAGGCGCGCGCCCGCGCCCAGCAGGCACGCCGCGCAGGCCAGGTCGGCGCGGTACAGGGCGTGGTGCAAGGGGGTCCAGCCGGACTCCAGATCGGCCACCTCCACGTCAGCGCCCGCAGAGAGCAGCGCCTGCACCGCCTCCACCTCGCCGCGCCAGACCTGGAGTGAGAAGAGAGTGGGATAGGATTGACACGAGAGTTGACGGCAGGATGGCCACCCTTGGGATGGGATGGGGTGGGTGGGCCTTGGCACAACCTTGGAAGTGCCATCCCAGTGCTGCGCCATGCCCTACACGCAACCACCCATCGTGTGCAGCACAGCTATCATGGTGATGCAAGGTGGCAACTCCCAACGCATCAACTTCTCCGTCGAGAGGGTATCCCACTGGTGTTCAGGGCAAGGTCAGAAACACCTGCAACAATCCTCATCTCCGGGTAACAACACCTCGTACCGCGTGGTGAAGCGCCGTTCCCCCTCCAGTGGTGATCCTGAGGCACAGGGGGTTGGCAGATTAGAAGACCATCAGAGCCCCTGCCTCGCAGGCTGGATAGAATGTGCCCACCCACCCCGGCCTGGCTGTCGTCGGAATGTTCCGGGCGCACCTGTCGATCTCGTCCCGGCATCGCTGGGAGTCCAGCACCCGCTCCAATATGGGTAGGGAGCCCGACCTCACGGCCGCGAGCAAGCCCTCAGCCATGGGCGCGGGACATGCGGGGCCTTGCGAGTCCCAGCCGGGAGCGTTGGAGGACCCGACTCGGGGGAGTTTCACGAGATCGGGAGTGACCCACGACGGGCACTAACAATGCTGACACGCCATGTTTTCGTCGTCCCGGTTTGCCGCTGGGTGTGGGTATGAAGGGCGGTTTGAAAGGATGGGCCGGCCCCCCCAGCTCTGGCGCATTTTTTGGTTGGAGGGAGCTTCGTCTTAGGAGAACGCGGTGACTTAACGTTGGAACGACTTTCCTAGGAATATACCGGCGATATTTTTCAAAATTATTCATCGTTAGGAACTACCACAAATCAAACCGATATCAGCGGAGCTGTGCACACGGCTGCGTGAGAAGTCGTACACAGAATGGCCCCCGAACCGCGGGTGCGGGGTGCTGATATCACGGCCGCGGGATGAGGCACTTGCATGGTCACTGATCAGAGCTCATTCCAGATTTCCCTCTCACTCCCCCTTTGTCAGGCCGTTCGCGAGCTGGGCCTGCTCTCCTCCCCCGCTTCCCGTCCCTCGGTTGACCAGGCCAACTCCGAGCTGAAAGCCCTGCAGTTTCGGGCGGTGACGGACTACAACCGACTACGAGACGGGGTGGCTCGCCTGGGCAGCGATGCCGACACGGTGCGCGCGCGCCAGCAGCTCAGCAGCTTTTCACAGAGCTTCAGAGACTTGGCCGTGGAGTTCAAGCAGAAGGTGGCCTCCCACCCGGCTCGGGACGCTGCCTCCACCCAGAAGCTCATCCGGGATTTCCAGGTGCGCAGGGGTCCGGGACGACAAGGGGAGGGGAGGGGACTGGTGGAGCGTGGAGGACTCAGCATATGTGCATGCCTCTGAGTGGGGTCCTGCTCGGAGGATGCATGTCAACGAGCATTCATTCAACATGGGGTTGTGCATGTGACCTGTTTGGCGGCATCACCATTCCTCGAAATGAGGGAATGCAAAGCAGGAAGGGTGCATGCACCAATTCCATCGCGCATGGAGGCCTTCCTTGGACTGGCACATCTCAGACTGCCTGATGCGATGAGGCTCATACCGCCCCTCCTCTCATCCCATCCCCCCTCGCCTTCCATTGCCCAGACCCTGCTGAAGGGCTCGGAGAAACTGATGAGCATCGCGCGGGAGCGGGAGGCGGCGAGCCTGCCGGTGGCGGCCGCCCCGCCCCGTGGCGCGCAGCGCGACCGTGCCGCGGCGGGCGCCTCCCCGCCGCGGCCCCCGCGGCGCAGGAGCAGAAGCAGGCGCTGCTGGCGACCGAGAACGCGCTGGTGTTCAACGAGGCCCTGATCGAGGAGCGCGACGCGGCGGTGCGCGCCATCGGCGGCCAGATCGGGGAGGTGCACCAGATCTTCCAGGACCTGGCGGTGCTGGTGTCGGACCAGGGCGCGGCGCTGGATGACATCGAGGCCAACATCTCGCGCGCCGCGGCGCACACGGGGGAGGCCAACGTGCAGCTGGTGCAGGCGGAGCGCAGCCAGCGCGCGGCGCGGGGCTCCTGGTGTGTGTTGCTGGCCGCCGCCGCCGCCATCCTGCTGGTCCTCATCCTGATCATCGCCGCGTGACGCCGGGGAGGTGGGTGCCAGGGGCGTTACCTAGCCATCTCCTTTTGGGGGGGAGGGGTGCAGACTTGTACCGAATGTAGGACTGGGCAGCGTGTGCAGGCACAGGGTTGGGACCAGGCAAGCGGGAGGGTTTGGGGGTGTCAGGTTCCGAGCTGGTGGGAATCAAAGAAGGGCGAGTGAGAGCCCGCCCGCCGATACCAAAAAACAGTCAAGCTGAGCGCTCGCCGCCCTCTGGAGGCCCTGCCAACAGGGCTGGGGGCGGCCTCGGCCACGCCTCCCTTTCTTTGGCGCCGGCGCCGCCGCCGGCGCGGCGCGGCTTCACCCGCTCCACTCTCGCCGGCCCAGCCCTCGCCGGCCCCGTCCTCGTCGGGGTCAGGCCCCGACACGGCCAGGTCCAGGAGGCCCTCGGGGGGCTCGATGCGCATGACCCCGGCAGCCAGGTCGACGACGGGGACCAGCTCCCGCGCAAAGGGCAGCATGTAGGTGGGGCGGCCCGGCACCTCGATCTGCAGCACATCGTGGGTCCCTGCGGGGGTATGATTTGGTAGAGGGCTGACATGATAGAAATGGGAGCAGGGGCTTTGGAGAGGTGCAGATGAAAGCCTGAGTAGCTCCGATCCTGGGTACAGGCACACCATCAACTACCCCCACCCAAACAGGTGCCTCCCACCAACATGAAACACCAGACGCACCTGTGCCGTCAAAGATGTCGGTCACGGTACCCGCCGGCGACCCGTCGGCGTGCATGAGCACTCGCAGGCCCACCAGATCCTGTACGTAGAACTCGTCCTCGTCCTCCAACGGCGGCCGCTCCGAGGAGGGGACCAAGAGGCGGTGGCCACGCAGCTCATCGACAGCCTCCGGCGAGTCATACCCCTGCAGCTTCACCAGCCAGCATGGATTGCCCTAGAAGGGGGAAGAGGGGAGATATTGCAGGGAGGGGTTCGGTAAGGCGATGACGCGCGGTTCCTGGGGATTGGAATAGGCGAGAGGAAAGCATTTCACTTGTGATGGAGTGACAAGGAACAACAATCCCCTGCTGGCAGGACAGCAGGTTAAAAAAGAAACTAGTCCTCTGGGATCCCCCGCGCATCACCTTGTACAGGACCTCCCTTCCCCTCTCCAGGGTGACCTCCTGTGGAGCGCCCACCGCACGCCGCATCTTGGTCTCGGGAGGTGCCAGCCACCTGAAGAGGAGAGGCTGGCAATCTCAGACATCTGCTGTCACAGACTTATCTTGACAGCCCGAAGCACAGAGTCTCGTGATACAAGCTGTTGAAAACCGTGCGCCCCAAAGCCCGTCACCTGATGCCAGGTGTGCCCAGCCTGTCGTCTGGGAAGTCGGTGCTGGGGGAAACGCGCATGTCGCCATGCACGCCATGCGGTATGGTCAGCTTGCCAATTTCGACCCAGTCGCCATCGGTAGTGTTTGAGTTTGCTACGTTGGCTTGCGTGGGGTGGAGCGCTACACTCCTCCGGGATGGTCTTTGGCGAGCAGAGACCGCAGCACGGAATGGCTGGGGAAGCGGACGACAGCAAGCCGCTGATAGTAAGCTTGACATCATAAAATCGACATGTAAATCATCAGGGTCATTTTAATTACCGTTGAGTGGTCCTCCGTCTGCTAGGTAGTCGGAACTGCATGGCCCACCCCTCACCCTAACCCGTCCCGGTCGTGCTTTGCGTGACGGCGCCTGCGTGGAGACGCGACCGGCACAGTGCATTTGCCCATCGAAATAGTATCTGAAGGTCCAGGATCGAAGTACACATACTGCATGCTTTGAGTTTTGGCCAGAGTTAAAACACATTTCTACTTGGAAGGGATGTGCACCACGCAATGACCAGCGAAGTGGCAGCAGGGCCCCGTCGGGCCCCCATCCGAGTCATCGTTCGGGAAGGGTCGAGCATTGTGAGACACTTGGACTGCAAAGTTGACCCTGGTAAGACCAACAAGCCGCAAAATCTCACCGTGTCTGTGGCGGGCATTCCGGCAGACCTCACTGAGGGCGGGCTGCTGGAGCTCTTTGGCAGGTTTGGGGAGGTGCAGAGGATAGCGCTGCACGGCACCCGCACCTCTGCTGCCGTGCTGTATACAAGCGTTGATGGACCTCGAAAGATATGGAAGCAGAGGGCAAACGAGGAGCCCATCATGCTGCACCAGGCTTTGCCAGAGACACCCTTTGGCCTGAAAGGTACCTTTGCTGGCAGGCAGGCCTTCAATGGCATGGACACAGTGCATGCATTTGTAATGCTCTAGCACAGAGCCCGGAGCTTGATAACCATCTTTGACTTCCACCATCTTATGTTGCTGTCCCACTCCCGGAAGCCACTTCCCTTTGCCTGCAGGCTGGGTGGAGGAGCACAAGGCTGGCCGGCCAGGGAATGCCAAGCTTCAGGCGCAGTTGGATGCCTGGACGGAAGCGTTTGAGGCGGCCGAGGAGGCTAAGGCAGCAGCCGCAAGAGCGGCTGCACAGGCAGACGACGGCTGGACCCTGGTGCAGCGGCACAAGGTACGATTAACAGGTCGTCAAACCTCACTATGTTGGCTGAAAGGCGACTGGGGATGGGTGTGGAGTGTTCTGCCATGTGCTTGCACTCCATTAGTACTGCTCACTCTAACGTTCGCACGCTTATCTCCCATCAGGGCCGGAAGAAGGGCGTGGACGAGGCTGGCGTCGTGGGAGGCGGAGTGGCAGCCAGTGCGGCCTCTTCTGCCGCGCGCCGCGCCAATGCTGAGGTACACGCCAACTTCTACCGCTCCCAGCTGCGCGCCTCAAGGCAGTCGGGTAAGTGTGTGGATTGGTATCCAGATTGTGGTTTGGAACACACTGCTTACCGGGTGGCAGAGTGTTGAGATCAGTAATGATAGAGTAAAAGGAGATGGCGTGATGAAAGGGAATGGGCTGGGCCTCGGGAGCTGAAGGTCGTGGCATGAAGACTGATAACACAATGGCCAGCCTCAACCACCACCTGCCCAACCATTCCGCACTTACAGAGATCTTGACGCTCAGAGACAAGTTTGAGGAGGACAAGAAGCGAATGGCGGCCCTGAGAGCAACGCGCAGGTTCCAACCCTACTGATATCGGAAACCTGTGCTGGTGCTCAGGCGAGACTGGCCTGCACATGCTCGGTGTGCCTGCAGCTGTGCAGTGTCTTTGATGGAGTACTCTACGTGTCTGCAGCATTCCATAATCCTTGGGACTCCCTTTCCTATAACATAAGACTCTGACAGGACAAATCTGAGATTTGCAATGTAGCTCTTGAACATGCCGCCGCTGGCCACAACCTGCGCTTTCCTGGGGACGCGCTGCGAATTCAAAGTCGGATACTCCCCTGCAGCTGGGAGTCGGAGGCAGGCGCCATCCAGTACATTATATCCTCTTATAGACGTTGCTACAACCAAACTCCCGGCATTTGACTTTGGCACCCGATAGATACTGTGCGAGCGATTCTGAAAGAGCTGGGACGAACCCTTCCCCCGACTCCCAACTCCATGACCGCTCTCATCGACGTCACTTCCGGAGGATGCCCGAGTACATGCCACTCAATGCCATGCACAATCGTTTACACCGGCCCTGCTCCCGTGAGCGACTACTTCAGGCCGAGGAGGACGGGTGAGTGGAGGGAGGGAATCATGCTGTTGGGCTAAATGTGGACTCAGTGCACCATCATACGCGTCGAATTTGAGGGGCCTATTCCCTCTGCCATCGGCATTCAAACCCAGCAGACACTGAGCTGAAAGCCTGCTTTCGAGGGAGGGAGCTCACAGGTGAGGCGATGGTAGGGTTGTGCTGCACCCTGCCAGCGGGCGCCCGCCTGTCATAGCCCCAGTGGCGAACCCACTAACAGTACCTGACCATGCTCCTGCCCTTTCAATTACCACAGGCTGGGAGACTGAACTGCCTGCAGGGTACACCGGCAGCATATTGGTACCTGCAGACAGCCATTCCCATCCCCAGGGGTGCAGCTGGGTTTTGCAACATGAGTTCAAGTCGCTGACTCGATGGACGCATGGCAGCTTCGTGGGGGTGGAGAATGGTACCACGCGCATGCTGGAGTGGGCCAAGCTGGCCTCATTCATGCATGCGCCCGGCATGCCAGTCTGGGCAGAGGATGCGGTTGTCAAGCCAGAGGGGTCTCCCACCCAGTGAGATCATCCAGACTTGATATCCTGTGCCTAGCTTGTCCAATGACCCTTGAAAATTTGACCTCCAAATTGTTGGGGCGTTGACCATGGGTGACATGTGGCAAGGTCAAGTATTGCGCGCAAAAGTCTCAGGGCCTGATCCGTACTGCATGGGACGTCTGCATACGCCCGACTCCAGCGTGCTTCAAGGCCGAACATCTAGGTCACACATGCAGACATTCGACATGATCTACGTCGCGTCGTCTGCTGCATCACTTCTTAGAGGGGGTCAGGGGAGCGTCACCCCCGCACCCGCAACCTCCGCACATGCTCCCCAGCTCACATCCCTGAGGCGCTACGCCCGGTTTTGCGATTTCACACCCTTTCTGCCACATGGCCGGTGTCAACAGCGGGGTGGGCGGGCACCCCGCGCGGAGTCCGTGAGCCTGGTGTCGGACCGGGACCCTCTGTACCTGGACGACGCCATCGTTCCCCAGGCCGACCAGGAGGAGCTACTGTCCAAGTACCAGTTCTTTCCCATGGTGAGAGCTGGTGATGGCCAGGCTGGTGGGGGCTCTAGTTGTCTACCGGGTCTAGTCATCCATGCATGGCACCCCTGGCAGGGAGGAGGTATCATGGACCACATGCCTCTTTGCCCTGGCACTCCCACCACAAGTTGCCTCACTCATAACCACAAATCCTGGTCCCTGCAGGATTCTTATGTCTTCCAGGTCCCAAAGGACGAGGAGGGCCGACTGGACCTGGCAGGCACGGTCATGCTGCACCGCGGCACGGGTGAGAAGGGCCCCCCCGAGGTGCTGGGCCGCCTACCCGAGGCCCCCACCCGCTTCCGGGACCTGCCCTGGGACTCGGAGTTCCTGGGCAACAAGCTGGAGAAGCAGGCGCCGCAAACCTGGGTCTGGGCCACCTACCTCGTCGGCTTTGCCGCGGGGGATGCCCCCGGGCTGGATCTGGGGTGCGTGTACCGCCTGGACGGCATGCGCGGCCGCATCGAGCAGTGCCGGGTGCAGCGCTTTGCCGCTCCGGACACCCCGCCCCGCCAGCTGCTCCTGCGCATTCGCAGGTATTGTGCGTGGGGGGGGTGTCCAGCCTGTCGGCTTTTGGGTGCCCATGCGCTGAGGTCTTGATGATGAGGGATGGGCTGGCGGGGATTCCTGAAAGGGGTCGCGCTCTCTGACCGGGATGCCTGCCTGCACACGGGGCGCGCTCCCACCCCCAGCCATGCCGCTCGCCCTCCACGGCGCCCACACACTGCCCACCCCTCTGCACCCCTCCGCAGGGACGGGGCGGTGATCCTGGACACCAAGGTCAGCGCGCCCACGCCCGTGGAGATCGTGGAGGCTCACCTGGCGGGGCTGGTCATGCCCAGCCGTCTGGAGGTGATGCACGGCGGGGTGCCCGTGTCCGAGACCTGGTTCGACCCCAGCCTGGCGGCCGCCATGGTGAGCGGGGCTGATGGGGGGCGCAACGTCACCTCGGGGTCTGTGGCCTGCCCGGGGAGCAGGTCGCTCTCTGGGGTTGGCGAATGGGAATCCGGCCTGCAAGAGGTCGGCAAACCCCCTCCCCCGACCATCCCTGCCATGCTTCCCAGACTCTACACCCTCACCCCCCCACTGCACAGGCTGAGATGGAGGACACCGACCCGTCTCTGAAGGATCACATCGTCCCCGGGGAGAACCCCGAGTACGACGACGACAGCATGCGTGACTTCATGACGGAGTTTGATGACGAGATGGACGACGACGTGGACGACTTTGATTCCCCGGCCATCGACATGTGATGCGCGCTGGCAGCGGCGGTCTAGGGTGTCACACGGCGGCAGTGTACAGGAGATGCTGATGGGTGCACAACAGAACGAGCCGAGGCGAGCATGCTCGCTCATTTCCCCCCGCCTGGAGTGTGCTCCAGCCAGACGAGCAGGCCCGGTCTCGAAGGCTGCTAGCTCTTCACTTGTCGTCGGGGAACCCGACCTCCGGCTTCCGGGTGTCATGGTCGTCGGAGGACACCTTGGCCTTGGCGACCTCGGTCATGTCACGGACTCTCTCGTTGGCGGGCTCCATCCCACTCTTGTGCTTGTTTTCCCCGGTGTTGACGTCGCTCACAGTGCCCTCGGTGTGATGCTTGTCCTGCAGAGGAAAGGGTCGTGCTGTACACTTGAGATGTGCGGCGAACACCCCAAGAGGTTGCAAGTGTGGAGAGGAGATTGAACACGTCATCCCAGCAGCAATTCTCTCCTGCCCAAACCCTCCGCACCAGGGCGGCCTCGAAGCGCTCCGCGACGGCCTTGTCGACCTGTACAGTCACAGCTCCCCGGCCTCCCGGACCCTCCTGTGGTTTACAGCATTGGGGTGCTTCATAAGAATCGCTTCAAACCATAGAATAACGACCCTGCCTGGCGCCTCGGTCACCCACCCGCCCGGCACTCACAGGATCAGAAGACATCATGCGATGAGTGACGTTGATATGACGTTTATGAGTTTGAGGCGTGTTGTGGGCAGCAAAGACTTTGAAACTGGAGAGTTTGCGCTCCGGGTATACGTTGCCATGTAAAACGTCACGGTGGAAGTCGCCGTGTAGCTGCCTTGCGGATCCCCCCTACAATGGTAACCCACTTCTTTTGCCGACCTCTCCAGTGTACCTCTGAGGTGACTCTGTCTGGTATGTATTTACAGATTGTAACATGAAACTCTGGTCTGTAACACATAATGTACTTTCTCTGGTATTGCACGCTTGCGGGACCAGATACATCAAGAAATAGGGGTGCAGTATCAGCGTGCAGCAAAATTCTAGGTGCCTTTGGGTCACCATCAGTCACGAATGTGCTGGGTTTTGGACATGATGGTCGCTGGCGGAATTCTACCTCGGGTGCCAGAAGTACGGGGGCAAGCAGGCAGTCATCTCCGGTGTTATAAGAGGGCAAAGGTGACTGTTACAGTGGCCCTCACCTCCGTGACACCTGTCTCGATCTGGGAGACCGCACTCGCCTGATACCCTTGCGCACCTGCGCGTTGTAATGGAGGCGTCGCTGCTCTGCCCGACACAGTCATCGGCTTGCACTGCCATTTGTTCCAGTGTGCGCCACCCTACCCCACACTCGAAAGCCGCTGCACCCATTCCCGCTCACCACAGCTGGTCCCATTCCCCGCGTCTGAAAAACCGTTGTTGCTGTCGACAATGGACATTGGCGCGCCAAGTTTGACCCCAGCAGCCGACGCCAGGAGTTGTGCCGTCGCCAGCGCGTCAGCGACCGCCGCCCGCCGTGCCTGGGCCATGGCCTCCTTCTTGGCATCGGAGGAGATGGACAAGGTGACCCCATTGATCCGGAGGGCGTCGCCTGCCTTTCCCACCGCTGTGTCAATCACGCTCGACATGAGGCCGGATAGAAGACCAGCCACTGAGATCTGGATGGCATGGCGAGGGGAGTGGATGCCTGAGTCCAACACAGCTGCCAGAGAATGTGACAGATGCACGCTGCTCCCATGCTGCCCCCGCGTCTTGAAAGGCAAATCCAGCACCGGCTCTCCATAAATAGTACCTTGACCGTCTCGGAGAAGGTGTAACCCACGACGGTTTCCTTGCCGTCCGCTGTGCGGTTCTGCGTTGGTAGTCTCCCCGGAGGGTGGACGCGTTGGCAACAATGCGAGCAGCTCAGGGCCCCAATCCTGACACCCATCTAGGCAAAACAATGTTCCCATGCCTCACGACTTCGGGTGCGAAGGTGATGGTGAGCGTCTTAATGTCACGCGTCGTATCGATGCCAGGCAGGTTGGTCACGGCGTCCACGGTGCTCCTGATGAGCCCTGCCGCGCCGTCCCGGGCGATGGCCGCCGTGGTGCCGGTATTAGAAATTGTCATGGATAATGTTGAGAGGCTGGTGGGCATGCTCACCGAGCCCTGCCCGTTCACTGTCAAGGTCGAGGCTCCGGACGGGGCAGCCAGGCTCATCAGGAGGAGGCCGACCAACAGTGTCATTCGACACAAGGCCATCGCGTGAAGGGTCTTCATATAATTATTCGTTCGTAGTATTGTGCAGGGTGTGTGCCACCCCCACGGCTCTAAGCCTGGCGTCATGTTGATAGGTCTTTCTGTACGTCCCCCTCGCTTCCAATGTCAAGAATCACCATTTCCCCCACCGCACTGCAAGTCCACACACCTGTTTTCAGTTCCTCTCGCATGTGCGGGCTGTTTACTGTACAATCTCTGTTGCCAAGACTTGACTGAAAAGGGTTTCCATATGGACATTCCACACATTCAAATGCTTGGATCTATTTTCACTCGGGACACACCCTTGTGATGTGTCTGTCGATCAGAGCTCCACATGCTCCGCCCCGGCGTCGCCGGCCAGCTGCGCCAGCGCGAGTGCCAGCACATGCACGCCCCTCTCGATGTCCTCGGGTGACGCGTACTCGTCCGGGCGGTGGGAGTAGCCGTGCCGGCAGGGGATGAAGACCATGGCCGTGGGTGCGATCTGCAGGCGTGGCAGGTGGAGAGGTAGGGTGTTGTTTGGGGAAGCAGAGGGGGTTTGGGTGAAGCCTGAGGCTTTCCAGCGGCAATATTCACGCATACCAGGTATGACATCGTGATGCCAAACCCCAGATGAGTGTGCATTGGTAGCTGCGGCGACCGCGTCTTTCGCCCCTGTGACAACCGCACAGCGCTCTGCCCGTCCCTGGAGCCCCCTCACTCTTTGCCGAAAGACACAGCCGCCCCTTGCCGCCCACCCCCCTCCCCACCTGTGCCATGAAGAGCGAGTCATGGTAGGCGCGCGACACCATGCGTCTGCTGGTCAGGCCCAGGTGCTCCACTGCCGCGGCCAGGGCCGCCAGCGGCGCCTCGCCGCTGGCGGCCGGTGGGTCCTGGCTGACCACGCGGGTCTCGAGGCGCACGCGCCGCGCCTCGGCGATGCGCGCAGCCTCCGCCAGCACCTCGGCCACCACCCCGTCGCGCCGGTCGGCGTCGACGTCGCGTACGTCCACCTCCAGCGCCGCCTCACGCGGCACGGAGTTGACCGCGTTGGGCGAGACCTCCCACCGCCCCACCGTCCCCACTGTGTCCTCCGACCCTGTAAATGTGCGGAGAAAGGGTGTGGGCTGGGGTGGATGAAGTGCTCGTGTACAGATGGAGTCCAGGGTGTTGTAGCTTGCAGGGTGCACCCCCCCTCCCCTCTCTTAGGTCCCCCCTCACCCGTGGCCAGCACTATCCTCTCCACCGCCAGCGCGAACTCGGCGGCCGCCAGGCTGGCGTCGTTGCGCAGGTGCATAAGGTGCGCCCCCGCGTGGCCCCCGTCGCCGGAGAAGCGCACGGCCAGGGCGGCGGGCGCGGCGATGGCGGTGACCAGGCCCACCTGCAGCCCCTCCGCCTCCAGCGCAGGGCCCTGCTCGATGTGCAGCTCCAGGAAGGCGCCCAGGTCGGCGCGCGTGCGCCGCGCGCCGGCCAGCATGGCGTCCAGGCTGGCCGCGCCGTACCCCGCGCCGCGGGCGGCTTCCAGGTAGCTGCTGCCGTTGACGTCGCGCAGGGTGGCCAGGTAGTCGCCTTCCAGCGCGCCGGCCATGGCGCGGCTGCCGCTGCAGCTCAGGCCGAAGCGGGTGGGCTCCTCGGAGGTGAACATGACCACCTCCAGCGGGGCGCGGGGTCGGAAGCCAACGTCACGCAGCGCGCCCAGCGCGGCGATGCCGCCGATGACGCCTGTGTGGGAGGGAAGGAGGGGAGGCGAGGAGGACTGGGTTGGGGCCGGCTTCGAGTAGCTGGGCCAGAGGGCGGATGCATGTGGGGCTTGCGAGGTGGAGCATTGATTCCTAGGGTTGCGCAGGATGCACACAGTACCTCATGAATATGTTATGCGGGGGCTGTTTGACACAAGGCCTGTGCAGGGCGGGGGAGTGTGCACCCCGCCGTGCCACAGCGTGTGCCCGGACTGAGCTTGGAGGAGGGTGTTGCCAGCTTCAGACCCATCCCACCTCCCTGATCAGCCCCCCATCCCCTCAGCGGCTCGCCGGCTCCCAAGAACCTAACAGCGCGTCGCAGCGCACCAAGAGTTCCGTCGAAAGCCCCCGCCAGGGGGATGGCGTCGCAGTGGCTGCCGGTGCCCACGGCGGGGGCAGTGGGGTCAGAACCCTCCAACACGCCATACACGTTGCCGATGGTGTCCTCGCGGACGATCAGCCCTGCCTCGGTCATGAGCTGCTTCACATAGGCCCGTGCATTCAGGTCCTGGTCTGCAGTTTGACAAAGTGGTACCAGAACGAGAAGCTGCTTGGCCTCTGGAATGTCGCCAGAGACGGTCGGCAGGGCTTACGGAGCGAATGCCGATCAAACATCCAAATCGAAAAGCTTGTGCCTCCACACTCCACCTGTGAATAGGATGCGAGTCACGGCGGGATTTGGGTCGTCGCTGAAGGTTGCCAGGTGGAGAAGCTGGTCGAACACAAGTTGCCCACTGATGTCGAGCTGTGGCAGTGGCATGCCATTCATAGACTGAAGAGTCATGAGCACAATGCATACACTTGCCGCTACAGGCATGCGGCTCGACATGGTTGCCGCTACGAGTCGAAAGGAAATACTGCTAGGGCTTGCACCTGCCAGGTATTGCTGGTCGACCCAGAATTGCTGTGGGAAGAGTTCTGCCTGGGTTTCGAGCCCATTCAACCTTGTTGACAAAACGGTTGATGCATCTTGCGTTCCAGCGATTGATTCTTGTCCTAGGGCAAGCCGGTGCAGGCGAAACGTGCGGGGGTGGGGGTGATCATTCTCCGTCATGCATGCTGCGCCTGCTGCATCTATTTCAATGTGGTTGTGCCAGCCCGAGAAGTGCTCCCGATCGCAAGGTCGCGAATGCCGACGAAACTGAGGCTGTTGGTCAGCGAAACATCCGAGGGATATATGCATCAAATTTGTCCTGCAAGCGACGGGAAGCCGGTATATTTCCTGCCCATGAAGACCCTCGTCCGACCCTGACCCCATTGGCAACGACAGTACTCCATACCGGCAACGAAACCCACACTTCGGTCTCCCAGGTCCAGAACTTCACGCAAGTAGGTTCCTTTTCAAGTTAAACCCCCTGGAATAGAGCACCGTGGCGTCTCCCTGTCCTGAGCTGGGGCCAACCTCTTGGCAACCTGCCATTGATGGCATGACCTGCAGCAGCATGGAGGAAGCACAGATCCCAGGGCTGGACGCCAGCTTCGGCGCCTTTCAGACCCGTGTACAGGCAGTGCTGGACCATGACAAGGTACACATTCTGGTTGCCAGGAAGGGAACTTCGAATGGCACCCAGTCCAAGGATTGCAGGAGATCGATGTCTTACTCGAGTTTCCATGCCTTCCCCATCGCGCGCACACAGATCAGCGCTGGCAGCCGGCGTGCAATCGGGTCGGCCCTGGAGGACCTGCGCGCCGACCTGCACGAGCTCGCCGCTAAGCGTACCCCAGAGGCGGCCCAGCGCGCGGCTCTGCTCCATGGCCTGGCTGGCATCTGTCGCCGGTATGCTGACATCCTCCCTCCAAGCACCCGCCCCGACTTTCCCCAGGCATGCAACGAGGCTGATCTAGTCCTTGAGAGTCTTCCAGACGACCATCTTATCGATCATGGTCTGGTTGAGTCCCCAGCCGGGGGTGCACCCCCTATGACCTTGGAGGACCAGGTACGGGAGCTTGCAAGGGAGGTGCTCCAACTGGAGATGGAAAGGGACGCGGTACTGGACCTGCTGAGCGCACAGGTGCGTGACCCCGGGCAGGGGTGTCGGAGGGGTGGATGAGGGAGGCCTGGGGACCACTCTGTGTCGCAGCGGTGGCGTGCGATCCGCTCCCCATTCAGCACATGCGGGTGCCTCTCCTGCGGGATGTGGAGATCAACACGCTCACATGGCCAGCATGCAACCTGCCCTATTCCATCTTCTGGCTCCCAACAACCACCCTCGCACAGGCTGGCGTGCCAAGTCCTTGCGAATCTCAGTCACACAGCCCTCGCATCGCTGCCCACCGTCCGGAAGCGGAGGGCGGCGAGGAATGCCGCGTCGGCAGCCAGACAGAGGTCGCAGAGGGCGGGGCAGCGGAGGGCGACGCTACTCCCATACTGGTGAGACACACTCGAAGTCCCCTGCCTGATTGCTTGTGATCTGCAATACACTGCTTGTGATCTCCAATACATTGGACATGGGGGAAGTTTTTCACTTGTAGCAGAGTAAACGCATGCCGAATGCCACGCCCCTGCCTCCCTCTGGCTCATTTGGATCCACACACCACCTCCACACCCCACCCAGGACACGCCACGCCGAGACAGCCCTCTGCCAGGCGCACCATTCCTGGAGGAGTCCCTGCTGGAAGCGCAGGGAAAGATCGCCGCGTTACAGGGCGAGGTGCTCAGGCTGCAGGGCCTCCTGGAGGCGGCAGCCACCCCCCGCGGCTGTGCCGCCAGGTTGCACCGCGGCGACCCAGCTGGCGCCACGTCGCCGCCACGAGCCCTTACCTTACCACATCCAACCATATCACCGCCCCCGCCCCGGCGCCCCTGGACACTGCTGACGTGGCTGGTGCAGGGGACAGCTGGCGCCTTGCTCCGAGCCGGGGTGGCGCTGGACACCCTGCTCCTCCTCGCCGCCTCCCTCCTCCAGGCCGCCGGCCTGCGCCATGTGGCGATGCTGGTGTCAGTGGGCCTGGGGGGCGTGCTCCAGGTGGCCTGGATCCTGGCCGGCATCGCCGCCTGGCCGTCCCACGTTGACACCCCCGCAGCCTGGCACTGAGGCAGGCACCGATTCCTACCTTTCCTCTTCCCAAATGATCCAGACGGGAACAGCGCCTGTTCCCCCATTGACCCCCCCCACTCCTCCATCCTGACGTGCTATCTTTTGCCGGCCCAATGCTGGCCGTGGTGCTTGCCGACGAGGTGAGGCCAGGCACCCCCCTCCTGCAAGCACATGTACTGTTACAGCCGATGAGTGGTACAGGTGATACCTATTGAAGTGCGACGACCAGTTCTGGGTTCATGATGAAGCCATTGCAATGCACAGATGGGTTATACACAGCGCTGAGGGGTATGGTCTGGGCCCTCTCCGAGGTAGCTGTACAGTGACCCTCAGCGTCCCTCGCTGTGGCGCGGCATGGCCGCGCTCTGATACAGGTTGTCCACCACCAAGAGAGGGTCGGCCTCGTTGAAGTCCACACCCGTCCCCAGCCCAGGGGTTCGGTCCTGGACCTTGTCCGCGCTGGGAGCGGGTCGTATCCATTTCTGCATCAGGGGATTGTATGGAGAAATTAGTGAGGGCAGAAATGGATGACGGGCTGGCTGGAATTGGGGGGGTTGACATGTCTCAGCATGATGGTCGCCGCCGGGGATCAATTTTGATGACAACTCCTTGCTTGCCCTTTGCATGGCCAGCTACCCTGCCTACTCAACCCCCACCCATCCTCTGTCACAGGACCCCTACCTGGGTCACGAGGATGAGGAGTGGGGACGTGAGGGTGAGCAGGGCCACCGTGGTCCACATGATGGGGCCCCGGCACTCCCCGCCACCGAGCGAGGGGCTCGGAGCTGTGGCTTGAGCATGTGTGAGCAGGCTCCGTCCGGCCGACACGTCGCTGCACTGCCCATTGTCAGGGCAGAAGCGGTCCAGCAGGTAGCCGGAGAGCATGCCTGGACGGGAGTTGTGGGCGGGTGGGGGTAGCGGCATGAGGCTGGGCCCAGGGGCACTCCTGTGTGATGCCTCAGCGGGGAAGTCTGTCGCCATGGGGTGTGCTCGATCCTGAGGACAGCAAACGATCAACCATCGTCGCCAGAGCCACTCCAATCCCCACCCTCCCGTACCGGTGGGGAGCATGGCGGCGAAGAGGGGCGCCGACGCCAGCGCGGTGAACATGCCCTCCTTTCCATCCGGCGCCACGCCCATGGAGTAGTCGTACCAGCGCGGGCTCCACACCGCCTCGCCGAGGGACAGGGTCAGCACAAACATGGCCGCAGCCCACTCGGCGGGCCAGATGACCAGCCAGAAGGGGGACAGCGCAGACAGGTAGCTGCCAAAGTGGATCATGTCAAAGTGCTGGAAGCCTGTTGGTGGGGGAGGGGCGGGTGGGTGGGGAAGAAAGGTATTGTAGAAGAGGGCGTTAGACATCCCAAGCAGCGCAGGGTGGGGCGGGCAAGAGGGCTCGGCAGGGCAGGGTCTGGGGACGCTCATGGAGCCAATGTGCACAAAATACAATACTCTTATGCCCAGACCTGCTTCCAGCAGGCAGCATAACCTGTCAACCCTGGGCACGTCTGCTGCTTCAGTGCACTTTAACAGAACCCCTGCAGCCCCTATTTTATGCTCCCCGGGCCCAAGGTACCTGTGGTCATGGCCCCAATGATAGGAACCAGGAAAACAATGGTGAAGGGATTGATGGAGTATATCATGCCGATGGGAGCATCGCACCCAAAGGCCCTGTTTGAATGGGGGGGAGGGGAGAATCACGTCACTGCAAGTCGCAAGAGGGCACCTTTCTGAAGTAAAAAGCAAGGCCGGGGGCAACGATCCAAGCCAGAACACTTACGGCAAGTCCCCATTTCATGCCTCACCGCAGCTGATACTTGGGTAGCATGGCGTCCAGGTACTTGAAGACCGACTTGAGGTTCACCTGGAGCGGATGTGGGCAAGGAGAAGGGCCATGGGTGAGAGGAGGTTCTGTGCTGTGCCAGGAGGAAAGGATGCAAGAAGTAAACCACCCCTGTCGCCCGCGAGAGAATTTAATGTCCCTTGCAGGCCATCCCATCGCGGACTATTCCCGGGAAACACAGGGCATCGGCCTTTTCCCCTTCCTCCCGGCATCGTGACGCATACTCACTGTGATGACACACATGACAATGTACTTGATGAACTCCCTGGACAATGCCACGTTCTGCAAGGGGTGAGAGGATTGAGAGGCAGAGTAAGAGCATGCAGGGGCCGGCCGTAATCCTGCTGTAGGGAATCAAGCCAATGCACCAACCCCACAGCCATGAACCGCAAACCCCCTCCACTGTCTCACCCCTGCAGCTGTCACCAGCTTCTGCCACTTGGACTCTGACGGCGCAGACGGCGCATCCTTGGCAGCCGGCTCGACGCTGCGAGGGCGCTCGCCACGCCCAGCCTGTGCCAGGCCAGCCTCCGCCTCGAGCACAGCTGGTACCCGGGCGTACACCGCCGCGTCGTCATCCGCAGCCGGGTCCGACAACAGGAAGGTGAGCCAGAGCCCCACCATTGAGGTCACGCACCCTGACAGATTTGATTTTGGAGGGGTGGTGCTGAAGAGCCCAAAGGTGAACATGATGAAGTTATGGCGCAAAGGGATGGTGATCACTTAATACGAGAGCTTCTCAAAGGTCAGTACTCACAAACGATAGAGCAACGATGAATGGGCAGGGCAATTTGTGCTCCAGGCGTCACCTCGCGGTCTGCCCTTGGCCGAAACTCTCATGTCACCAGCCCCAGGGCACCTCACATAGCTTCCACCTGCAAGAACCCACCGGATGCAAGGAAGAGCCTGTTGCCGCTGTTCAGCAGGGAACGATCCGCAAACGCCGGCACGTCAAACCCGTGCTTCCACCTGATGCGGAAAAAGTCCATGAGCACACCCTGTTCATGCGCAAGGGAGGGGTGCGAACTGCCGACTTGCAGCGCAGCGGAGTAGATCGGAGATCTGCCTGAAGCTCAAGCACCAGGCCCAGGGTGGTAGCAGTCAGCCCATCAGACGAGCACGCTGTACCCAAGGACCCCCCCGCACCTGTGTCAGCGCCGCCACGTTCATCAGCGTGTAGAAGAGGGAGAACGCGAAGCCGCGGTTGCCGGAGTGGGTGTAGCGCTTCACGCCGATGGTCATCACCGGCACGCCCAGCGACCCCGCCACCGTGTTTGGGCCCAGCAGAGCCATTAGCAACACCAAGCGGGACGACGTGGAGGCCATGACCAGGCGGCTGGTGATGTTGAGGACGAAGCACAGGACGAGGGAGCGCTTGACGCCTGGGGTCGGGGCATGGACGAGGCGGGGACGAGTGCTGTGAAGGTCAAGAGCAGCTAGACCAGCACTGGTCTGGTAGAAAGCCTCACCTCAGGAACAGCGGTTGCTAGGGAGGCGCCAGGACCACCATCTCTGACAACCCGAGATCCCCATCCCATCACCATTTGCTGTCCACGACCAGGCCCAGCCTCACCCAGGAAGTCGATAGCCCCACCCAGGATGAAGCCGTAGAGGACCAGGAGGGTGCCCCACAGCCCATACAGGGTCCCAGCTGTCAGGTCATCCACCCCAAAGTTCTCGGTGAGGTACAGCACAAAGATGCGCGACAGGGAGAAGTAGTTGTAGCTCTCCAGCACCTTGAGCACGAAGATGATGAACAGATCCCTGTGCGGCCATGGCAGCAATCGGTGAGGGCGAATCACGACTACACCACCATGGGTGCAGCGGCCTCGCGTGTCAGCTCAAAAAGCCCTCCTGCCCTCCGCGGACCTAGGGCTGCCTTTTAGGGAGGAGAAGCCGCTCGTCACCTGATCTCGGACCGATTCCAATGCTCTCATAACCCCGATCAAATGAGAGGATCGAGGGAGGCCCGGCGTGGCGACCGCAGGCTGGTCCCTGGGGGTGGCGGATGTCTTGTTCCGGATAGCCCTTGTTCGACAGGATGGGTGTCGTAGACCACAATAAATATCTCAGGTGTTGATGCGATAGAATTTCTGTACTCTGAGACCATCATACCTTGGAGGCTTGCCGCTTGTTGTTCGGTCAAATCGGGGTATGCCACAACACCCATCCTCTACATTACGATCTTTCCAGCCAGGACTCCAGGTCATATCAATAAAAACTGTGGGACAGAGCACGCCAGCGTCAGAATCCAAGTGCTTAGTATGCAATGTACAAGGAACAACATTCATTCAGGCAACTGCCCGCAGCACTCAGAGCCAGCTACAGATACAGTTCCTGCTGCTGCTTCAGGAACTGGAAGAGGGCGATGCCTTCGCTGTGCTGCAGGTTCCTCAAGCAAAATCCTTCCAGCGCAGGGCAGGACAGGAGGAGTCCTGGGTGATGAGAGATGAGAGGTCGTAACAGGGCCGCAAAGAGGCGAACGAGACGTGGGTGCTGCGAGCTCAAGCTCTGCAAGTGTGGGAGGGTGGTGAGGGGCAGAGATAAGATCGTTGCGGGGGAGACATCCCAATGTCATCCCAGACTGCAGAGCCGACATAGTGGGACTCCCTATGCGGATGATCCCGGAAACTCGACGAGTCATTCCTGCGACGCACCCTCGCAACCCTATAGGCACACCATGCCACCCGCCACTCACCTCCTGCTCCTCCTCCTCCAAGCAAAGAATGGCATGGTTGACGAAACCGGAGGTCAAGTCCAGGCTGAGCTTGCGGCAGCTCACCTGGCTGTGCATGACCTCCAGCGCCCCCACGGTCAGCGGGCTGTCGCACAGTGCGGCGATGCACTCATCATACATGTCGACGAGCAGGGTGGATGCCGAGGAAGGTTCGTCACGCCCTCCTGACGGCTCGTCACGCCCTCCTGCCACGCCTTGCGCAGCCAGGGCGTCCAGCAGGTGAGCGGCAGCTGTCTGGTCCCGCTGCACCATGGCCATGAAGTCCGAGGGGGTCCCACAGGAGGATTCATCAAACCCAATCTCGCCTGCTTCTATCTTGAATAGGCGGAAGTTTACTTTGGGGAACAGCCACGGCATCTCAGCTGCGTGGGTGTGGGGGAGTGCGATTGATTGCATGGTGAATGGCCCCGGGACACACCGAGGTGGCTCTTTCCGGTGACCAGACAATGGGCCACTGCAATTGAAGGCGAATCCCTTTCACTACAGTGCAGTTTACCTGGGAGGATGGGCATGAGCCCCGGCAAGTCCTGGCTCGACATGCGCGCACCTCCGACAGCCACCCTCGAGTAGCCGGACTACATGCCTTCAGGGTGTATCGTATCCATAAGACATGGCGGAGATGATATATTTCGACACTGCCACGCCTGAGTATGCATCTTGCTGAAGAAGGCCTCGTAGCTCTGCATTCCTCCGTACCCATGGGGATTCCCGGGATTTTCCTTGTCAGCGGCGCCCTACTGGCCATGTGTAGACACCTCCCTATCATATGGCATTCTGATTTTGCTGCATATGCATTGAGTCGGAAGCGGGGGGGGGTGGGGGGTGGGGTAGTAGCTGGGGAACACAGGTTCAGCCGCTGGCGCAGCAGGAGGCCTTCTTCTTGGCCTCGGGCGTCGCCTCGGTCACCTTGATTGCAGTTCCGCTGCTGGGGGCCTGCACGATGCGTGTGAGGGTGGGGGGAAGGGGGTCGGTTCCTGGGTGCATCTCACAGGCTACCTCTGAGGGCCAGCACCAGCGCGTTGTCGGCTTGCAGGCTGAGAGGGTGGTGGGAGGTCAGGTAGTGGGGTGGGGCAGCCTGTTACCCACTCTCCCACATGCTTCCCCCAAGAAACCCTTGCTCCCTCCAAGCCCTCATCCCACGCACCTGCACCGCGTCCTCCGCGGCCAGTGCCTTCTTGGAGACGATGTGGTAGATCTCGGTGAGGATGCGCTGGAAGGCTTGCTCCACGTTGGTGGCCTCCAGGGCGGAGGTCTCGATGAAGGACAGGTTCTCGCGCTCGCAGAAGGACTTGGCATCCTCCGTCTGGACGGAGCGCAGGTGCCGCAGATCGCTCTTGTTCCCCACCAGCATGATCACAATGTTGGCGTCGGCGTGGTCGCGCAGCTCCTTGAGCCACCGCTCCACATTCTCAAAGGTCACTGCATCTTGGGCAGGGCAAGGGGGGAGCTAGGTGGCTGCCCCTGCGTCCAAGGGGTGCACGCCGCAGGCCCATTGAATGGACGCCGCTGCAGTCTGGCGTGGCGACGTGGGGCCGCCCCACCATGCTCCAAGCCATGCATTAAGCTCTGCACTGCCTGGGCCAGTCTCCCGAACGCTTGCAAGCAGGCCTGGCAAGCATCCTTGGGAGTCCAGAATGACGATTTCTAGGGGTCCTCTGGCACCCCCGACGCCTTACCCAAAGACATCCCCGCGCGCACCCCGCTGCCTCACCCTGCTTGGTGATGTCGTAGACCAATAGCGCCCCCACCGCGCCACGGTAGTAGGCGCTGGTGATGGCGCGGTAGCGCTCCTGGCCGGCTGTGTCCCAGATCTGTGCCTTGATGGTCTTGCCGTCCACCTGACCCATGGGCGCGCGAGAGGTATGTGAGGCGCCATCCTGCGTCAAATCCATGGTGGATCACAGTGCCGGAGCCGTTGAGGCGGCTGTCGGACCCACCTGGATGCTGCGGGTGGCAAACTCCACGCCGATCGTGGACTTGCTCTCCAGGGAGAACTCGTTGCGGGTGAAGCGGCTGAGGAGATTGGATTTTCCTACTCCACTGTCTCCGATCAGCACCACCTTAAACAGGTAGTCGTAGCTGCACGGGAGGGGCCGGGAGCGAGGTTGTCAGTTCGAAGGGTTGCGAGGGGCAGCGCCCGAGCGCGGCTGGAGTCGGGAAAGAGGTGATCGCGCCACACGCCCGTCTCACTCGTCATCGGGCTTTGGGACCATAGTGCCGGGGGCCAACTCGCGGCAAGCGAGAGGGGTGCGCGAGGTCGGGTGAGATCTTCTGCCGAGTCGCTGGTGTCAGACTGACCTCCTCACTAACACGGTCCCGAAAGCTGGTATCGCGGTGATCCTTTGAAAGGTGCGTTGTGTCCGCACGACGCTGATCAGACGGTGGAAGCCTGCTTGGCCAGGGTTGGCGCGTCGGACCACTTCCAATTCCGGGCTACACTGACCTGTACCCGCCAAAAAATCATGTCTTACAGGCTTGACCGACAAGAACACCCAGTGCGGACCCTTGAGAGTGGAAGCACAGGAAGCAATACATGCACGACAAATCCTGAATATACACCATGCCTGGGTGGTTCAAGGAGGGCTGGTGTGAATCCATGTGCCCCACAGCCGTGCTAGGGGGAGTGTAGTGTACATCGCAAGTTGCTGGACATCCTGTGAGTCACAATCGGTCCACCGCCGACTCCGGCTCAAAGAGGGTGATGCAGCCATTGAAGTCGACTGCAGGGTGTGAGGTTTGCACGTGAGGTCATAGTATGCAGACGGACCCGGTGGATGGATATCGCTGCTCCCAAACCTGGCACCTCCTAGCCAGAAGGCACGCCCACGCCACAAGCCCTTCGTTTTACCTGTTGTAAGCATGGGCAGTGTCGGGTGCCATGAGCAATCTCGGACAGTGGCGTCGTGGCCGCCCCTCCTCCTCTGCAGCTGCGCAACAGTGGCCCCCGTCAACACATCTGCAGGAGTGGGAAGGGAGGCAGGTTGTGGGCTTGATGTCAGCAGTGACTCCTGTGCCATGACATTTGATGAGTGTGCCACACAGCGAGACTCCACTTGCTGCCCTTCCCAGGTCATTTCGCGGCAGCAGCTCCTCAGTCGGTCACCCAGCGTCCCCTTCCTTCCTGCCACCCACCAAAAATCCGGACGATGCCGTCTGCGCTGCCGGCGTAGACGTATCGCTGGCCGGTGGTTGCCATGGGGCTCCAGTAGGCCCTGATCAGGGTGTTGAGCACGTAATGCCCCCGAATGCTGGTCAGGGAGGCGTCCATGGGGTGCGTCACCAGGCGGTCGCGGGCGGGGTACTCCATCCACCTGCAGCAGGCAGGGCGTGATGTGGATTGGGTAGGGATTGATGGGTTGGGAAGGATGGCCTGGGCCCTGATACCGGTCTGAGGCACGATGAGAGGGGTCACGTGGCCTCAACAGCGGGGGCCATCGGAGGCCACAGTCCATCCAGGTGGCGTGTCCAGCGCACATACAGATGCAAGCTCCCTTCACACGAGGTGAGCCCCCAGCAGGTCAGACCAGACTCTGCGGCCTCAAGTTGCCAGCCTCTCCTCGCCACCCATGAGCACATCCACCCACCTGTAGTCCCACTGGAAGGTGGGCACGCCGCCCCGCTCGGCGGTGACCACCTCGCTGCTGGGGGACATGCGCCGCGCGTCCCACACCTTGATGCTCTGGTCCTTGCTGTTGCTGATGAGGAACCGCCCATCGCCCTGCGAGGGGACGCATGTGAGAAGAGTCTGGGCGAGTAGAACACGCCCGAGGGACACTGCAGCCGGGGGGGGGGGGGCTGTCCGAAGCAGTCTACCCAGCGCTGGCCTCGCGGTTCCACTGCCCACCCACTTTGCTGTCTATGTGGGTGACGCCATCCGTGTGCCCGATGAACACGCCCACCGGCTTGGTCCGGGCGCGTGCCCTCAGCATACGTCGGTCCCAGACCTGCAGGATGTAGAGGGGCGGGGGAAGGGCATGGCCAGCAGTCGGTGAGTGTGGGCTCCGACGTGTGGGTGCAGACCTGAGACCCGCCCACCCGTCGCCAGGCAGCACCCCCCCTCCGTCTCCATCCCACCCCCCGCCCTGGTTCCCACCTTGACATACTTGTCGTCCCCACCGGTGTAGATCAGGTTGCCGGTGTCATCTGCATACTCCACCGCGTTCACGTGGTCGTTGTGGCCCTTGTTTTGCACCACCGTTAGACCCTGGGCGTGAGTGGCGATGGGGGTTAGGGGGCCAAGGAAAGGAAGGGCGGGAGGGAGCATGGTCTGGCACTTTGCATCGCGGCACCACCCGCCCAGGCACGATACGCCAGCTCGGCCAGGCGCCTGGGCCGGGTTCACACCCACCCACCCTCTCCAAGCAACAAGCCCTCACCGCCGCGATGTCATAGATGTAGAGGCTGCAGTCTGCGGTCCCCGCGGCCACCTCCTCACCCGAAGGGCTCCAGCGCAGGCTCCACACGCCCGTGGAGTAGTCGTCGACGTCGCCCCGCGCCCCGGTCAGCTCCAGCGCCTCGTGCAGGTCTGTCACGTTGCCGATGGAGCGCGCGGCGTCGGGGCCTACCCCCCGCGCGCTGATGTCCACCATGTGCACCGTGGAGGTGATGGAGGAGTAGAGGAGGAAGCGGGAGTCAGGGGACAGCGCCGTGTCGGTGATGGTCCAGCGCAGCTGGCGGGCGTGGATGTACTTGAGCACCGTGAAGCAAGGCGAGGTTGCGTCGTACACCTTGATGCAGCCGCCGCCCTGGAAGCCGGCTGCAGGGTTTGGTGGCAAGGGAGGAAGGGCGGGGAGTTCAGAGGCTGAGAGGGATTCATGGCTGGGCAGGGTTCCGAGCTGGGCCACAGCATGCCGGCCTGACGAGGAGGCTGAGATTATTTCAGGTTTTCATGTCCCAATCACCCTCTTGGACTATGGCAGCCACATGAAAGGGCTCGCCTGCTGCGGTGTGGCACCTGAGGCTGGCGCGCTCCCCGTGCCATACCCACTCAGGTCCCCCCCCACCCTTCTCCCAAAAGCCGCCCACCGTAGAAGATGTCCCCGGTCTGTGAGAATCGGCCGGTGTAGATGCGGGAGTGCATGCAGTCCACCATCCGGGCCCACTTCGTGGGCAGGCGGTGGCGGCTTGCCAGGTGGGCCTGTGTGGCAGGGGAGAAGCCGGGGCCTCCGGACCCGCCCTCCCGCATCAGCAGCGCGTGCGCAGGGTTGAGCGTCGCGCTGCGTGGCGACCGGTCGGCGCCCTCGCCTTCCTTTGCCTGCGCTCGATGCTGGGTGAAATCAGCAGTGTTGGGTCAACATGTCATGCGCGCCAGGACGGCAGGGGAAAGACCTGCCCAAACTTCTTGGTGATGGTAGTGGGTCTGGTCTAGTCGTCGGAGGAATCTCAGAAACCAAGAAAATCGAGGATGGGAGCCGGCAATGGTGTCATTGCTTCCCCACTCCCAATACATGTAGCAACTGGGCATGCTCTCCCGTCTGGAACCCAGGGCCCAGCATACAGAATCATCACCTTCAGTGGGTCGATGTAGGACAGGTCGGCATATGTGCTGGCCGCCAGCTCGTGAGCCAGGTCACCCTCCAGGCCCCGTGGGTTGCACTCGGACAACAGAGGGAACTGTTGGACCTGTGCTCGGGGTGGGAGGGGTGCATTCTGGTCACGGTGCCGGCCTCAACCTACATCATGGAGCAGCGGCGGGGTACATGACCCCTAGGTCCCTATTCATTCCCACACTCGCCCAGACCGCTGAGCCTCGACAACCCACCAGGCCAGCATTGATGCTGCGGCTCAGGCCCGCGATCCGGAGGTGGCTGTCCCCATAGTCCGACTCCTCGTCGTCCTCTGCGTTCAAGGAGAATGAGGTGTGGGGTGGGCCATCTGAGGATCATCAGCACCCAGCTGCTCATGACCAGAGCAGATCTGGACTGACACACAAAAGGTCTCCCCTGAACCCAAATGGACCCGCCTGAGGCCAATGATCTTGCACTCACCATCAACCTCTACCTCCCAATCATCCTCCTCATCATCGTAGGCGGCGTCCTCGTCAACGTCGTCCTCCTCGAGGTCTTCCATATCAATCTCCACCACGGTTACTGCAGCGTACTCCACATCATCATTGTCCCTCTCCGATGCCTCATCCAGATCTTCTCTAAACGGATTCGAGAGCGACTCCGAGGCGCGGCCATCCTGGCCCATCGCCTCCTGCACAGTGTCGCAGGGACGGGGTTGCGACGTGCTGGAAGTGAGTGGCCTAGGTGGGAAACCCCATCCCGCCACCAGATTGGTGGGCAGGGCATGCCCATCACCAGGCATCTCGCTGCATCAAGCCCCACCTCTGCCGAAAAATTGGTGGATGTGGGCTCAGCGGTGGGGATAGGGGAGCGACCGGCATCGTTTGCCGTGCGTGCGGATCGCCTCGGCATCCTACTGGAGGACGCTGCGACCTCTGGACCCACTGCAGATGCGTCTCGACTCGGCCAAAATGCCATGCATCTGCATGCATGGCGCGTGTGCACCCCCCACACACGCATGGTCGTCCCGGAAATTTGGGAGGTCATCACGTCATGGTTCAGTGATGAGTCATGTGAACCGACCTCAAAGACCTACTTGTACAATCTCACTGATCATGCAGGGCCATGGTGTCACATCTGTTGCAGATTCGAAGCAAGCAGCTCTTTCTGTCAGACCCGAGGATGCCTAGGATGTCTGGAGCAGCTTCTCGACCTCGTCCTCGGCAGCGCTCCTCTCCCACCACCCTTGCTGCAGCCTGTCTATCTCGTCCAGCCTCGTGAGCTCCTCCTCTATGCCTGCAGCACGGGGACGCAGGAGTCTAGGCTTGATTACGGACAAAGGTGACCCATGCCATACACGCGGGCACAGTCGCCCAACAAGAGGTAATCCAACGCATCACCTGAGGACCTGGCCTCCAGTTCGGAGCCCTCCTGAAGCTCCACCTCTACCTCCACCATGGCAAGCACCCTGACCGCAGCCCTGAGCAGCTCCGTCTGCTTCTGTGAACGCATGATGGAGAGGCAGAAGAAGGGGAGGGATGGGTCTGGTGCAGAATCCCTGTGAGCTGCTGCACCCTCCAGGCACCTGTGCATCCCCTGAGCCCCAAGCTTGCCTCAAAACGGACCCCCCTGCACCGACCTCAAGCCGGGACTCCAGCCACTGCAGGGAGGCCTTCACCCTCTCCAGGCGCATGGTGTAGGTGCCTTCCAGCCCCGCCATCTTGCTCCTCAGGTGATGCAACCTGGTGGGCGACATGGGTTGGGGTAGAAAGGGCAGACCGCAGGGTGTGCAGCGCAGCGGCAATCTCCCTCCGTGCGGTCACAGGCTGCCATGCTTCCTACGTCGCCCAGAGCCTGTGCCAGGCCCCTCAACTCCTCCATTTAACAACCCCACCTGGCGCAGCTCTGCACAGTGTCCGCGGCCGACTCTAGGATGGCGGCGATCCTCCTTTCCAGCTCGAGGTGCTGCGCCAGCAGGCCCTGCCGCACCTCCTGCGCCTGCGCCGTGGATGGGAACGCATGGCGTGGGTCCCCGTCTGCGCTGGGGTGCCATGCACGGTTTGCCGCGCCATGCATGGGAGTTCAGAGTGCGCTGTCCCCCCGACCGCCCTCGCCTGCCCCTCCATGACGCGCGCTCCCCCCTTGCCCCTCCAGGATGCCCACCCCCCAGGATGCCCCTCCACACCCGCTCACCGCCAGGCCCGAGCTGGGCAGCTTACGCAGCCTTGGGAGGAGCAGGCGCTGCGTGGCCAGCCCCGCCGCGCCCAGCGCTGCCGCCGCGCCGGTGGCCGCCAGCGCCGCGCCCGGATTCAGGGCCGCGGCCGCCGTGTCGAAGGCGGCCAGGCCCATGAAGGCGGGCAGCACCCAGCCTGGCACGCTGGACCTGAGGATGCTGCCGTCGGCGGTGGGCGGCGCGGGCGCCCAGCGGCGTCGACTTGCCGCTGGTCTGGTTGCTCAACAGCATGGGCTGGCCTGGGGGTTGGGTGGGAGAGGGGACAGGAGCATTCAGACCACACCTCTCCCAGAACAGAGGACAAGGCATGGTCGTTCTCAGATCTGTGCCAGCCCTGGCAACTCACAGCGTTTCATGGAGGGATGCCCTGGCGCCTGTATACACGCCCCCAGCCCTCCCCCTCAAGGCACAAACAATCAAGAAAGAGAAAACAACACCTCCTTCTGTCACCTGGCTTGGCATTGGGGGGCATGGCCTTGAACAGGCGGTCCTTGGAGAGGACAGCCCGCTCCGGGCAGCATGCCACGGACACCACGTCGCCCGCCTTGGCCGGCAGAGCGTCGTCTGTGGTGCCGAAACGCAGTGCGCGCCGGCGGCCAGCGGCGTCCTCCAGCACCAGGCGGTGGACGGAGGCCAGGCCCGGCCTGGCGCCCAGCACCCGGCCGCCGGTGGACGCCCAGAGGGTGCCCCGCCGCTGTGCGACGGCTTCCACCGCCGTCTCGGTCACCGTGCCGGACACGATCTGGAACTCGTACCTGCATGGTGAGCTGAGGGTGTCAAGGCCAAACCACCAGGGGCTGTATCGCGCTGGCGGAGGAAGTGAGGCGGTACTCGTACAGGAAGGGGGAAGACCGTGCATGCAGAGGCACCACAAGCAGAAGCAGTGGCTCCTGTGTCCGTCTGTGCCCGCCCCTCCCCACAGTACGATGGCCCCACCTGCTGGCGGCGTCGGCAACGTTCTGCGTGGCTTCCAGGGTCCTCACCAGGGCCAGGGGCAGCTCGGGATCCAGGGGTGAAGGCACGACATGCCCAAACTAGTGTGAGGGGGTGGAGGGAGGGTGGATCCTTGGGGCGGCTGGGAGCAAGGGGAGCGCCCTGGAGCAGCTGCCCTTGGTCTGCCACGCATGTGAGCTGAGAGGGTCACGCCACACCTGCACCTTTGGACCCCCTCACCCGCCTGCCACCCATCCTCCTCTCCGCACCCCCATCCCACACGCCATGCCGACCTCCACCCTCGCAGCTACCCTCACCTGCACGTCCCCGCTCCGGCCAAGGCTACAGGTCCTCACGTCCTGCAGCGCGCCCAGCGCGGCCTTAACCTGGCCGGCCCGGCACAGCATGCAAAGCAGGGCGGCGCTGGTCTCCGCGTCTGCCGCCGGCCACTGCGGCCCTTCCTCCCTGCTCCCGCCCCGCAGCATCTCGGCGTGCACGCCCCGCGCCAGGTCGGCCCGGCCCGCGTCCACGCAGGCCTGCATGGCCTGGCGGCAGGCGTCTGTGGTGAGGGGCCCGGCCTCCCCGGCGGCCAGAAGGTGCAGGGCGTCCTGTGGCCCGGAGGCCCGGGACAACTCTCGAGACAAGCCCGCATCCATGGCGCAGGCGGGCACGCCTCGCCGTCCTGCACCGCGGGTGTCGCGCCGCCTGGCAATGCACCTGTGCAATGCGTCGGCATGCCGGGCTCGTAGGGCGTGCTTGCGAGCCAGGCTGTACTCAGCACGCTCCTGATGGACCAGATGGGGTCCGACACCCCCCACCAAGCCACTCATTACGGCTCAGGCTCGGCCAGCATTGTGAGCCCTCGCTCCAAACGCAGTCATGGTGCAGGTAAATCTCCAGTCATGAAAGCGCAAAGGAGGAAACGCCGATTTGAGGCCCTGCGTTCACGGCATTCCCACACGCCGCGATCCATTTCGATCTGCTCCCGACATTGTGTGTCGGTCGCCTGAATACGAAAACGATCTCGAACCGAAATGGGAGTGGCCAGGAGTGCCCACCAGGCATGCAAGACATTACTCGACCCGATACAACTGCATATGCATGTGCTTGGCGAGCCCTGGTGTTTTGGGGTATCTAGCCACCGAGTGGCCTGCTGCCCATGTCGTTCAGCGGCGCAGAGAGCTTCCGCAAGTCCTCGCCGGTGGACACGGAATGGATAGAACGGGAGCTGAGTGCCTTCTTGGAGAGGGCCAGGAGTCAAGAGGAATCTCGTCCCATTGTGTGTGTGACCTCCGGTGGGACCACCGTCCCTCTGGAGAGGAACTGTGTCCGCTTCATCGACAACTTCAGCAAGGGCACCCGCGGCGCACTGTCAGCTGAACAGTTCCTCAAGGCACGCGGCATGGTGCATTGTGTTAAGTGGAAGGGGGGCGGCCATCCTCCCGCAATCAGGTTTTCTAGTCTGAACCACTGAGGTGGGCAACAACCCTCTTGAAGCGGCCCCTTGCCAAATCCCACTTACATCCCCCCCTCCCCCCCTGCGACACGCTACTCACAGGCAGGCTACTCTGTGATCTTCCTGTCGCGCACCGGCTCCCTGCTGCCCTTCCTCTCCGAGTGCCAGGAGGACATGGCCACCGCCTTCTCGGTGTCGGGCCCTGGCGAGCTGCAGGTGAGCGCCCTAGCCGAAGCCCTGCGCACCTTCCACAGCTGCACAGAGGACCCGGGGACGTTCCTCCATGTCCCCTTCACGACCGTGTTTGAGTACGTCCAGGTAAGGTTATGCCTGTTGTGGGTTCTCGCATGCAGACAGTGAGGGAAAGGGAGCGGCCGCGCCGTGCATGGCGCTGCCAGGCAGGCGTGCACAGGGTTTGAAGCACATCAATTTGGGTACCAATCCCGGGAGCTGGGCTTACTTCTCTTGCTGTCCAAATCTGAGGGCTCCGCGCTCAGGCGAGCCAGTCACCCTCCCCATCACCATTTCCCGAATCGCAGTATCTGGAGGTGATAGCAAGACGCCTCGCGTCTCACGGTCGCTTGGCCCTCTTCTACCTTGCAGCAGCTGTGTCAGACTACTACATACCCTGGGCTGAAATGGTGGGAAGGAAGCGGTGTCTGAGAGTTTTGGGCATCTGAGTATTAGCTGCTGCCAGAAGGCATGCTCGTGTGTGTGCCGCCTTTGTCTCTGCCCAGCCTCACCCCCCCCCCTTTGCTCCGACCTCTGCCCAGGTGGAGCACAAGATCTCGGGCGCAGGCCCCCTCGTCCTCGAGCTGCAAAAGGTCCCCAAGCTGCTCGGTGAGCTGACGTCAGTCTGGGCACCCCACGCCACGGTCGTGTCATTCAAGCTGGAAACGGACGAGGAGGTGCTCCTCACCAAGGTTTGTGCTGGAATGGGTGAGGATAGATGGCAGACCCTTACCATGCCACTAGTCACGATCAATGCGATCTGTGCCGATGGAACAAGTTTCATGTGTCTTGGGGACCAAAGGCAGGGCGCTGGCTGGCTTGGCAACGGTCCGCTGCCCTTGCCTTTATCACCGGATCTTCCCACTGACAGGGCACCCCCCCTGCCCACCATCACCCGCTGCAGGCAAAGGCTGCCATTCAGAAGTATGGCGTGGATGCCGTGCTGGCAAACGAGCTGCACAGCAGGAAAGAAAGGGTGACGCTCCTGGTGAGAGCCGGCGAGGGTAGGGCAGCCCCGATCCACTGCAGCGTGCTGCGACTGGACCCATCTGCGCCCCCCGGCAGCGTCATCGAGGAACAGCTGGTCGGCGCCGTCGTCGATCTGCACCGGCAGCGCAGCCGGCGGTGACGCGTGCGTGCGCGCACCACTGGCGAGTGTCGGGGAGGGCAGCCACACGAGAGGCTCCGTCGAGTCCTTCTGCCCGCGCCAGGTCGGCCAGTGCTCAGCATGCCCCTGCCCCTGCTCCCATCAGCGCCGTGCAAATTTACAACACAGTGCAATAGGACGGGCATCAATATGAAGGAACGGGCGTGCGTCAGACCGCCCGACCAGGCTAGCGCTGCTGCGGCGGGGGCCCCGGCCACGCGTACGAAGGGCCGTGTGCGGCATGCTGTGCATGCTGTGCGGCAGCACCCTGGCCCGGGACCGCGGCGGCCTGCTGCGGGGCCGGCTGGGGCACCTGCGCATCGGGGGCCCAGGCCAGGGGCTGGAAAGCATGCCGCTGCTCTGCGGCGCCGGCGGCCGCGATGGCCTGCGCCATGCCCAGGTATCGCTGCGGGTCGTACTGCACCGGGGCGGGGGCGTACTGCTGCGCGGACGCGTACTGCTGCGGAGACGCATAAGGCTGCGCAGGTCCGTGCCCGGCGCTCTGCCAAGGGGCGGGGCCCCCTCCCCACACTCCGGGGTACTGCTCTGTGGCAGCGGGCTCGTACGCCGCGGGGTGTGCGCTGTCTCGCAGATGGGCGGGCACGGGCAGGCGCACCCGCAGCGGCGCCGGCCGCTCGACCTGGAAGGGCGCGGGGGGACCCTGGGCGGCCGCTCGCTCACGCTCCTCCCGCCGCGCCGCCTCCCTCTTCCGCTTCTCCGCCCTGGCGCGCTCGGCGGCGGCCCGCGCTGCGGCCTCTGCCTTGGCGCGGGCCGCCGCTTCCTCCGCCGCCCGCGCCGCCTCCTCGACCGCCCGCGCCGCCGCCTCTTCTGCCGCCCTGGCGGCCTCCTCCTCTGCCCTTGCCGCCTCCTCTGCGGCCTGCTCGGCCGCCCTTATAGCTGCGGCCTCCTCTTCAGCCTTCTGCGCGGCCGCAGCCTGTCGCAGCGCACGCTCGTTGATCTCTGGCACCTCCTCGGCCCTGCAGAGCATGGTGTGGGGGGACGCGCGGTGGCACGAGACGTACCAGGAACCTCAGCCCTTCTCCTGCCAGCGTGACTCGAGCACAACACCCGGGTGCAGGTCACCCACTCCCAGCAAGCCCTGCCACCCCCTCGTTCTCGTCATTCGCTCCTCCCAAACTGTGGGGTACAATCCCATGCACCCCCCCATATTCCTCAAGGGAAGCGCACACAGCTGCTCACCCGGAGTGGTGGCCGGCGACGGAGCGCCCCCGCCTCAGGCCCATCTGCGCCTCAACGGCGGGGTCCAGGCGGACAGGGGACGCCTGCGGGGCAAGAAGGGGAGCGAATCCTTACGTCAAGAGACGAGCAGAGGTGCTTTGAATGGTACTCTTGGGCCTTCTGCGCCTTGCAGGACAACCCTGCGCCCCTGTTGCCTGACTGGCGCTCACAGGTTGTGATCAACCTTCACAGACTCGCCTCCCCCCACTATTCTGCCCCCCACAAGACTCACCCCCCGCTTGCCGCGCCGACCCTCCTCCAGGAACTCGTCGCCGGTCTCGCCGCTGCGCTGGCTGCGCCGGATCGCGGAGCGCAGCATGTCGTCGTAGTCGGTGAAGGCATAGTTGACGGCGCGGCGCTCGCGCCGCGACCTGCCCCCCGGCTCGTCGCCGTACAGCGACGGCTCGCCCAGCCGCCGCGCCACTCGCTCGGTGGCCTTCAGGCGCTTGGCCTCCGCGGCCTGGCGCTCCTGCAGCCGCGGGACCAGCTGCGAGGGAGAACAAGGAGTGATGGTGGTGTCCACACTGATTATTGCAGGGGAGAAGAGGAGAAGCTTGGAGCGCACTCCCTGGGGCACATGAGAGACTCCATGCGTGTGCGCTGACTTTGACCCCCCCAATACCCAGAACCACATCCTCCCGCACTCACATCCTCGAGAATTACTCGGCCCACGGCCTTGTCCTGCGGCTTCATGCTCCGATGCAGCCGCTCGCCGATCGACTGGTTGGTGGAAACAGAATTGGGATGACAGGGGTGAGACATCGAGGTGTAGCAGTCGGGGTACCCACGAGGTTTCGGCGAGACCGCATAGTCTTTGCGACCCCCTGGGGATTTTTTGGGGAGCTCCTCGAGGCAGGCGGCCGGCATGCATCGATTTGAGTCGCAAACACAGTACGCGCCCCGCAGCCATTCCGGGTCTCCCTACTCCCAAACACCCACCTCCATCTGCGGCACGGTGGTGGCCAGCAGCTCCCACGCCCCCGGCGCTGGCGCAGGCGGCACAACGTACGCGGCCGCCCGCCCCCGCCGCTTCTTCCCCCCCTTGCGCTCGGCGAAATCGGCCTCGGGGCCGCTCTCCTCCTCCCCCGACCCCTGGCCCCTGTCTGCGCCGCCGGGGCCCTGCCGCCGCGCCAGCTCCGCCGGTATGTCTCGAAAGAGGCGCGAGCCTGGGCGGCACAGTGGGAAAGTTTGTGGATGTGAGAGGTTTGAGAGAATGGGCAGGTGATAGAATGCTATAAAGTGCTGGAAGCCACAAGGCCTGACTGGCGCACCCGCGCATGCTCTTTCCTGCCACACATACACCTGCAACGCTGCAGCGTCCCTCGCCAATCGCACAGCACGAGCTCAACTCCCCATACCGATTTCTTCGCACCCCCTCCATCCTCATCAACCCAGAACGCAACACTCCATGCCCACACACACAGCGGCGCACCCATCTCCCCCGTGAGGTAGTAGTAGGAGATACCGGAGGCCTCCGCCCCGATGGCCTCCCGCCGGAAGCTGTCCACGTCCTCTGGCGGCTGGAAGGCGGCCGCCGCCGCCCTGCTGCCACGCGTCGGCCGGGCGGCAGCCGCGGCCTCCTTCGCCGCCTCGATGGCCGCCAGCTCCTTGCGCGTGCGCGGCCGCAAGGCCTCCTCGATCCGGGCCTGCAGGCAGTGAGCTGGTCTAGGTGGTCGGGTGGGGGTGTTCCGGTAGCACGGCGCATGGCCACCAGCAGAGGAGCTGGGAGTGGGAGAGAAGAGCCCCTGACGCAATTGACCTCCCCCCATGTAGCCTCCAGAATGCGTTCCCGAGCGCCAGATCATGCCACATGTGTACAGCAACACACCAGCAACCCACCTGGCAGTCCTCCCGATCCAGTCGCACACAGCACACAAAGTGGAGGGCCTTGACCCTGGAAGGAGGAGACGGAGGTGATGTGGTTTGTCAAAGCACTGGGTAGTATCGCGAATGTTCCAGGCACAACCTGGATGGTAGTGAGTAAACGTGCATCTTTTGGATTGCACAGTGCCACTGGCCACTTCCCTTCCCCTAACAATCCTTTCCTTCTCTGCAGAAGCAGCGGGGTACCTGGCATCCCCATCCACCAACCGCCCACCTCTGCTCCACGGGCAAGCCGGCATAGGTCACGGCCTCAAAGTACTTTTCCGGCCGAAAGGGGCAGGGCTCGCCACCTGTTGTAGGTGGACGGGTTTGGGGGTGGGGCGGGCCCAGCTTCCCGGCAATGTATTCAGTCATGCAAGTATGACGCTGGGCCCCCAATCTGCCCCATGCTCCCTTCCTGGAAACCCTCCTACTTCCACCCTCATCCCATCCTCTGTTTCCTGCCCACTCCCCCAAGCCAACTCATCCATCCCATCCCCCTCCACCCCCTCCTTCACCCTTTTCCACCCTACCTGGAGCGCCCTTCCAGTGGAACTTGATCTTGTTGGCCAGGTGCACCACCCAGTTGCCGGGATCGATCACCGACTTGGGTGAGATGCCGCGCAGGAGGTCGGCGTGCAGGTCGGCCAGCAGGCCGCCGTCGCCCGCGCTGGTCACCAGCACGTGCTCCAGTTCGTCGGCGCCCAGCTCCCGCGACAGCCGCAGCTGGGGCCTGCGCAGGCAGGGGTCGAACGCTGTGAGGAGGGGGGACCTTGGACCTGGCGGCCAGCCAGCCTCCAGCCCCGCCACTGCTGGCCCCAGGGACGGTGGGCTCCTCACCACCAGCATCGGCCCCTTCCCACTCCATCCCTGCAGCCCAAAATGCGGACCCCGGCCCCTTCACTGCAGCCCCACCCTCCTCCGCATGCGCCTCACTTGAAGAGCGTGAGGAAGTCCAGGACTGCTGCCATCTCCCACATGCCCTGCACCGTCCTCAGGCCGGCTGCCACCTCTGCTGCCGTCAGGGGCCGCTCCACCTTCATGTTGACGTCTGCGTAAGGCACAAGGGGGTGCCCATGCTGGTCGATGCGGTGCACACCTGTCTGCCGGGACACCCTTGCCTAACCCCACCGGCACACTCTCAATAGAGTGGGCATCCATCCAGCATCCTGACGCCCTCCCAGTGCAGCACGCACCTCGCTCCACGTCCTCATCCTCCAGCTCCTCCCCCCCCGCCCCGCCGCCCTCTGCCTCTGCGGCGTCGGAGTCGTGGTGGGAGGCGCCCGTCCCCTCGGACCCCTCAGCGGACCGCGCACTCCAGCCGGGGCGCCTGCAGGAAAGCGCGGCGCGAGGTTGCCATCGGGTGCGCAGGGCTCAGCGCTTGAGGGCCGTGCTGCAGGCGTGTGGCGAGGGCGGAGCGGGGCCCCCATCCGCCCTGTCGGACCAATCAGGCAGCCCTGGGCGCCAAGGGGCCGGACCTAACGCATGCATGGCACTGGCACCATCCCACTGCCCAAGGCTGCCCTACAGCAGCAGCAGGCACGCACGTGGTTTCCGAGTGGTTGGCGCCGTTCTGACTGGCAGGCCGAAGTGATACATCAACGTCCCCATCCTCGAGTCCTCCTGCGGTGAGGAGCAGAGATTTGCCTGCTGGCGCTAGTCTGTTCAGGACAGAGAGGCAGCAAGCTTGGAACTGGTGCTGGGTCACGTCCCAGCCACGTCAAATGTCAGCGCAGAGAAAGGGCAGGATGGGTAGCATGGCCGGCTCCCCTCACCTGTACGCAGCGATGCTGTCTCAACCTTGGGTGCCACGGCCGGCCCTGGGGCCAGGCATGGGACCGGCATGACTCCTGTCATGCTGGAGCCAAGCGCGGTGCTGGTGTGGCAGAGCGCGCCTGTAGCTGAGGACATGAGCGTCGCCAGATGCTGAGGCACGTCCCCCTATCCCGCGAACAGGCCGGTGTCTAGTAGGGTTTCAACGAGGATCTCCTTTCACCGCCGACCGCCCCCCTTGTTCTCCTCGATCAGGCGCTGGAGTCGGGCCTTGCTCTCGGCCTCCTTCTTGCTGACGGGGCGCGCCTTGCGTTCAAACCCCTTGGTGATCTCCTGATCCTGGGGAGGGGAGGTGATACCCGAGAAGAGCTTCAGCTCGGTGACGAAGGCTGCCTCCGTGGGCTCCGGCTTGGGGGCAAAGGCCTTGTCCAGGGCGTTGGAGGCCTTGTTGGCAGCGTAGGCTGCGCCTACAGCGCCGGCGGCACAACAGGGCAGGAAGCACATGGTGACATGGGTCGGGCTGCGGGGAGGAGTGGGCAGGTGTCAGGGAACCGTGCCTGCATGCCAGGGGCAGGTTTGCATCGTAAGAGCCGGGCCAGAATCCTTGTCCGGGCAGGCCAGGGGCGGAGAGAGCGGGTGATCCCTGGCTTTCCGCCCCGTCCGGTGGGTGCGGGATGCACAGGGGGGGCGCAGTCCGGGCGGGTGGGGGGACACCATGACAGACATTTAGCACGACCATCAGCTGGATTTGAACCCGCGCACAGCAGGCCCAGCTCACCACCGTGCAAACGAATCGGACTGCTTCGCCGCAGCGACTCCTCCTGGTTGTGATTACACCCCTTGCAATACTATTCGACAGACACGCAGTCGACGAGGTGGGAGGGAGCGTCGCGCCCCACCTCTGGTCCAGTTAAAATGTCGTGGGAGGGAACTGTGCGAACCGTACTGGAATTCGACCCCGGCCGTCGATGCCCGGACAGGGTTCGCGCCCTGCGCTGCATGGTGGAGCATTCGCGCGGCTTGCAGCACGCTGGAGTGGGAGATTCTCAGCGCCCACATTGGCAAACAACAGCATGCTGGGCTAGGGCCACCTAAAGGCGTCAGACAAGGTCTCGAAGAGGGCCAGCTGCCCCTCCCAAGGGGCGACCACTGCTGCTGCGAATGTTCCTCACCCAGCCCACGCCCCGGCAGGCTTGGAAATTGGTATTGTCTTATCAATCTCGAATTCAGCATTGTATCGCATTCACATAGCTTTCAAGAGGGTCGATTGCACCTTCCCTCTGGTCGTTGTCCACTCCCTAGGCTAGAGCTGAGGGCCGACTCTCTCCAGCATTGATTGCCCTTGAGAGCCTCATTGGGAATACTAGGAACCTCGCCATGTCCTCCACAGCCGAGGGCGACTTGATCGCACGCCAGGTCGCTACTCTGCTGGAGGTGCCATCAGACGAGACTAGAATCGCCGACTATTACACCAAGGTATGCTTGCAGAGGGGCCAATTGCCTCGGCAATGCACCACAACTCATGGCCTCTAGTTGGGTCCGTATGTCACCCATCAAGTTAATTTCATCAGACCTTCTTCCCTGCCCACACAGTTCACCAGGAAGTCAGGTCTGTCTGTGAATCCTCACATCGGACACGGACGGGGGAAGGGCTTGCAGGCGACAGCTGTGAGTGCATCATGCTGCCTGCACCTGTTTCTGGAGGGTTCCTGTACCTGTATGATTGTGTACCTGCTATGTGGGATGGTGGAGCATGGATGGGCAGTACCTCGCCCACACCAGGATGCTCACTCTCACCTCAAGCCACCCGCCACAGTCCTTCAAGGAGGGCGAGGTCGTGCTGATCGAGCCGCCTCTGGTGGCCTGTCAGGAGCCCGACTCCGCGGCCATCGTGGCAGCCTGCCAGCACAGCTTTGCCGTCCTGGGCCCGACGCTGGAAGCCCACCTGGCCCACGCCGCGCGAGGTGCTCAGGCTGTGTGGCGAGATTCGGGGTATGGGAGGTTGTTCCTGGGGCCGCCAGCATGCTCATGCTGCGGGGACAGCCCCGTTGAGCTGTCTGGGTGGCGACAGTGGTCCGCTCACGAGCCTGGCTGGGGAAGGGAAGGGCGTGCCGACGCCCTCGTCTGGGTTTGGACCCCAAACCCCCATCATCTGGCACGTCCTGCAGCTCTGCGAGCCGACCCCGCCCTGTGTGCGGCCGCGACGTGCCAGAGCGACGAGAGCGATGACTGTGAGGAAGGCTCGCCGCCGTGCTGCCCTACCTTTCCAGTGTCTGAGGAGGTCGAGTCGGGGCTCCGCTCCGGAGCGGTCCGCCTGCCTGGCTCCGACCAGTGGCCACTGCCGTCTCCGGTGAGGTGCTGGATTACTTGCCGAGCTCGCAGTCCTTGCTGCCGATGCCCCCCGGGATGTTCCCCTGAGTCGCGCTCTCAGCGGCAGCCCTGCATGGAGGTGTAGGCGACGGTGGCCCAGAAGCTGAGCTGCCATTCACCCCGCCCTGCCCCTCCACCTCCCTTCAGGTGCTCGGTCGGGGTGATGCCGACCTGCTTTTTGCCAGCGAGGTGGCCGAGACCGAGGCATGGGCGGGGTACGCCCAGCTCCTCTGCGCCAACCCCCCCGCGAGCGGCGGCAGCCGGGTCCCTCGGGCAGGCGCGCAGCCGCAGCGTCGCGCCGCGCTGCGACAGCTGCGCAGCTTTGCGCGCGAGTGCAACCCTGTGTTCGAGTTCGTGGCCCGAGCCCTGGCCGGCGTCCTGTCCCGGGCCGACGCCGAGCTGGAGGCCGGCGGGCTGCAGCCGGAGGGCGAACGGACGGACGCTGAGTGGGCTGCCCTGGTCAAAGCCTGGGAGCCCCTGGCCCATGGGCACAAGCGGCTGTGGTGGGAGCTGCCCGTGACGGGCCTGGGGGAGGGCGAGGCAGCAGAGCTGAGGCAACGTGAGGGCTTCAGGGGAAGGGACAGGATTGGGCAGGGGGTTTGGAGGTTTGTGGTGGCATCCGTCGCCCACATGTCGCTTGAGGCTCTGCACCGCTCTCGACTCAAGAGGCTGTGGGGCGGCATTCGCAGGAGACCCGCCCACCAGCATGCACCGCCTGGCCTCCTCGGACTGCAACCCGCCGGTTCCTCTCCTGCTGCTCACGCTCGGCCGATTCACCCCCTGACAGAACGACACGAGTTGTGTCAGACCGCGGCGGACCTTTTCCGGCGCGCCCTCTGGGACCCCCGCTTCCCCGCCCTCTTCCACGAGGACGTGGTGGGGTGCCTGGTCGGCATGGTGGAGCTGAACAACCTGGACCTCGTCGTGCCCAGCCCGGCGCTCGCCTGGTACAGGTGGTACCAAGAGCAGTACCTCACTGACCCCAGGCGGAGCGAGGGCCAGCAGGATCCTGCCGGTGCAGCTGCGCGGGAGGTGGCGGTGTTCGTGGAGGCGTACGGCGACGCCCTGAGCGTCAGTGGCACGGGATTCTACAGGCTTCAGAGCTGCTGCAACCACTCGTGCAGACCAAACACACACGCGTTCAAACGGGACCAGGACACCACGGGGGCAGGTGCGGGAGCAGGGTTGGGCTGAGGTCGTGTCCCAAGCAGTCAGGCTTGATACCCAGTCAGCGGGGACATCAGTGGGCATCTACACACCTGCACGGTTGCCTGGCTGTCGATGACGCCCGGCCCCCAAACTTGGATTCCCACCAAAGAGCGCGATGCGAAGATCACCCCTCGCCCCAAACAATCCCACACCCACAGCTGTTCTGGTGGCTCTCAGAGACATCTCCCTGGGAGAGGAGATCACGATCTCCTACATCGACGAGGACGCCCCACTCCAAGAGCGACAGGATGCCCTGGCAGAGTACGAATTCTTGTGCACATGCGAGGAGTGTGTTGCAGAAGGTGTTGCACTAGTGGACCAGTCCTCAACTCTGTAAGCTAATGTGTGCACATGGGAGCTCGCCGCAAGAAACTTGAATGGCAGGGTGAGTGGGTCACCCCATCCCCCCATATGGCATCGTCTCGTTCCCACTGATCCGTCTCGAAATCACGAGTCCGAACAGAAATCTCCGGTGGTTTCCAACTCCGACGCGCAGCCTGAAAGACCAATTGTGCCCCATATCTGGTATCAGGGTATCGCGAGTCTCAAATCTTCTCATGATGCGTTACGCCCTGAGTCTCCTGGCGTGCGCGGCCCCCACTGCCCGGGTGGCAGGGGGGATGCGGCACGCAGCAGCCCTACACACCTCCCGTGCACATCTTCATACCCCCACACAACACATGCTTTCGTCATGGCGACAAAGAGGGGTTGAAAGTTCCAGGCGAGCAGCATTCGCCAGCCAGTCAGAGGGCAGAGTGGCCCCCTTGGAGGAGGTGCCTTACAACAAAGACAAGTATAACACTGTCTCTCTGATCGGGAATCTGGGCGGCGACGTGGACCTCCGCTACTTGGAGAGCGGCAGTAAGACTGCGACAATGGCCATGGCTGTGTCTCGCAAGACGAAGCCTGCCTTCTGGTAGGAACCAGGGCCTGTGCTGTGCTTGGGTATATATGCCCAGAGAGTTGTAGCTGAGGTTGAATCGGGAGGTATGTGATTTCCCGCTTAGTCGCCTTGTGACATCGAAGCATTGAGGTTTATGCATGCGCAATCCTTGCCATGTCAACGTGCAATAGGGTTGACGTTGTAGTATGGAATGAGCTGGCTGAGGCGGCGGCCCAGGGGCTGCGAAAAGGCTCCAAGGTCGAGGTGGAGGGCTACCTCACCATTCTAGACACCGCTGCTGGCAATCGTAAAGCCCAGGTACGATCTGCAGAGCCTGGCATGCCGTCGAAGGATCCCCCTTGGGATACAGAGTGCCTGTTTCCGTTTTTGTCGTTAGGTTTGGGATCTTGCGTGGTGCACCAAGATACCGAGACAGTCAGATGATGTCAGCAACGGAGCATGTCTGTGCAGTGCTGAACTCGCCACTCTTACAAACCCCTAACCTAGGTTGTGGCCCGCGCCATACGGAAAGTAATATACGATGCCCAAGGGCAAGGCAACGATGCATTCCCCTCCAGCCATGAGTCTGCTCCGCCCCATCAGTCGTCTGGGGCAGGCGAGCAGGCCAGCCCAGCTGCGAAGCAGCGGCTGTCAAACGAGGAGCAGGATCAGCTGTGGATGAATCTCTTTGAGAACCCCTCAGGTGGGATCTCCGGGTGGGTCGGATTAAGGGCGATGACAGGTCACGGCATGGCGTGTTCGCAGGACCCGAGCCCACCTGCTATGGTCCAGCATCCTGTCGCCTTTTCTGGGGAGTGAGGGCTGTTGCACCGGTCCCAGCACTCTGCATTGCGTCACGAGTTCATGAGTTCATTGGGGACTTGCACCGTCACCCTAGCCAAGTACGCTCCCCTCGCGACCCTTTAGACTGGCTGGACTACCGGGGGAAGAAAGAGAGCGGCAGCGTCAAGCCCCGCCACCCGGACTTCAAACTGCGGAATGGTGGACGTGAGTCGATGGGGCAAGTCTAGGGAGCTAGGGAGGTGGCAACGATGCGTTTGGTGGGCAGAAGAGGGCATCGCAGGTCTCTTACTTCTCGATAGCAGATGTCAATCGCTGAAGTTTATTCAAGGATGCCATGGTGGTGGACACGGCACCTCCCTCTGAACCACTTCGCCCATTCCCCAATCTACAGTCAATGCTCCAGCACTCTGGATCTCTTCCAGCCCAGCCTGGGTCAAGTCTGAGCTGCATAAACTGGACTCTCAAGGACAGCTGCACACTGCAGACACGGTCTGAGGGCCAGAGACTCGAAAATGTACTTTCCCTGCACCATGCATGTACTGAGCGCGGTGGATGTCCCGGAGGAGTAAGTGGCGCAATCTCTTTCGTTCCAACCTGTTGTTCACCCCGGGACTTCCATGCATTTGCACATCCACCATCTCACCATATAGAGCTCGCACGCCTCAGCTGCTTTACATTAGAGCCAGTCGCGATTCGCACTCACTGCGCGCGCGGAAGTTGCACTTCCTCATACGAGCACGACTGTCAACATCAGGAGGACAACTCCGACAAGGTCCCTGAGGACTGCGACACGCCACGATGCAGGCCCTCAGGGCCGCACGGCAAGCCGTCGGAGGGCTGGGTGCGGGCCATCCCTGGAGAAGGTCCTTCACCGCCTCCCGGCTCACTGCCAGTGCGGACCAGGGTGCTGGCCCGGACCCCTATGAAGACCACGCCGAGACAGTGATAGAAGAGGTCCCATATAACAAGCCGCACCACAACTACGTGACGCTGGTGGGCAATCTTGGCCGGGACCCAGACTATGTAGAACTGGCAAGTGGTGCTCGGTTGACTCATCTGGCACTGGCCGTCAGATTCCCCAGTCCCGTCACGACCTGGTGGGTGATGGGTTGATGCATGCAGGTGCCCGGGGATCCGACGCACCCCAGGCCTTTCAGGAGCTGGGATGCCAGATAGGAGGCTCAGTGTTCTCACTGTTAATGTTCCCCCCTCCCCCCCAACTCAGGGTTGAGGTGAAGGCCTGGCATGACCTAGCGGATGCAGCAGCACTACAGCTGAGGAAAAGGGATCAGATTCAAGTCGTTGGGTACCTGGCCACATACACGACTCCCGCTGGTTACAGCCGGCTGCAGGTGGGTAGTGGGCCGCTGGTATTGGCACAGGGACAGGCCGTGGTAATGACAGTTTTCACTTTCTGAAAGTATAGTCTGAATGGACCAACCCACTGTGTGCCATCATGCAGGTGTATGCCAAAACAATCCGAAAGATTGTGAGGGAGCCAGGGAGTCAGCAGAGCGCTGACAAGGCGAGAGAAGGACAGTAGCCAGACGCCCGCCTTGACCATTCTCATGTCTTGCACCTTCAATTGTTTCCAGCACGCAATGCTGCCGCGCTGGTCAAGGAACCTCATGTAAAGCTCTCGGTGCATGACATCACGAAACGCTCAGTTACATGTCAGGCAGAGGTTTTGGCGAATCGGCGAGAGCTCAGCACGAACAACCTGATCGCTACACGGACTTCCATCCGATGCCTGACGGACAAGGTTCCGACTCCAGAGCACACATGCTTATGCTTTTTCGCCACAGTAGTATTATTTATTTGTCGGAGCATGTGATACCCACCTCACTGCCTCGCCTTCGACTGTTTTCAGGGCGTCTTTCTCCGACACCCCATGCATTGGGCAGCATGCCGGATGCCACTCGACCCTGCCATTGGTCGCTCGAGGACTGATTCTAGACGCATAAACGGCGCCAATTGCACCCCCACACCTCCTGGATTATCCGAGTACCGACGAGGATGGGCCAGCCAGGCTACCTCAGCGGGCCCCCACCGTGGGGTACCCAGCCACAGTGCTCCCGCGGCCAGTGACCTGGAGGAGAACTACCCCCCCTTGCCCCAAATGCTCTACTCCCCCGAGCGTCAAAACATGGTGCACATGATCGGACACCTGGTCGAGGACCCCTCCCTGGCCCATCTTGGGAGAAGTCGGTACACAGCCAGCCTGACGCTCAGCGTGTCCTACAATAAGCTCAAGGAGCCATTGTGGTGGGTGGGAGTGGAGTGGAGACATGGCGCAGGGTCGTGCTGATGAGGCAGACCCTCCTGAAGGACCCACTGGCAGCTGGTTCTCTGCAGTGTTCCTGGACCGGACAGTTTAGCTTTTTGATAGTGACAGAGTCCTGCTGCGACCTCAGCAGTACGAAGTCCCAAACTGAGATCATGCCACCCACTTGTCAGGGTCAGAGTCAGGACGTGGCATGAGCTTGCTGTGTCGGCTGGCAAGAGTCTGGCCAAGAACGACCTGGTATTCGTGGAAGGGTACCTGGCGGCCCATGCCACTCGGGCCGGGCGTACCCCATTTGAGGTGAGGGCTTTGTGTTGTTGAGGGGGGGCCTCACTGCAGCCTTGCTGTGCATGCTCAGGGAGGCAGCGTCTGGGCTCAGGTCCAGAAATGCGTACCCTGTCTGCGCGGGCCTGGCCCTGGTCCCGCCGCGCCCAAGTGGGCATGTCCCTCTGCGACCTGGCACCTCTCAAACCCCTTCCCTGTAAAGGTCCATGCCGTGAGCATGCGGCGGGTGGTGATGCCGCCGCCGTCCCCGCAGCCGCGCAACGAGAGTGCAGGGAGGAGGCATGAGGAGGGCAGATCAGCAGGGCAATTCAGGCCTGGCACGCCAAGCACTGCAACCCAACCAGTCTCCGAGAAGGCGGGGTGCCTGCCCGCCAAGTCACCGCGCGGCCCTGCACACACCGGCCTGCACCCCACCGCCAGTGTTCAGCCACAGAGTGACTCGAGGCCGCCCAGAGCTCCACAGGCACGGGAGGTCCCGGCAGTCGCGTCAGAGACGTGGACCAGCGAGGCTCTGAGGACGGCACCGAGGAGGAAGAGGAAGACCTCCCTGCCCGGTCAGAGACGAGCCTCCATCTTTCAGGACAGACTCAGGGGAGTCGTGGAGCGGGGGTCCCGTCCACATTGACCTTTGCATGCCCCGAGCGCTGGGTGGCAGGCGTGCTCCTTCCCCTTGGTTCCCCCCTTCCTGTGACAGGGTGCCAGCCCAAAAGCGCTAGTGTTACAGGGGCGATAGGGGATGCGTTGCGAGGCTGGGCATGGCTTCAAGACAGATCGGGCATGCAAGGGCAGTTGGAAGTGCTGGTGGCTAGGGCGTGGGGGAAACCCGGGATGTTTCCCGTGCGAGCAACAAAGTACTACTGGTCTGAGTGGGGGCCGAGGAAGAAATAGGGGAGCGACAAACCCATAAGCAGATTCACAGGGTCCCACGGAGCATGGACACTGTCAGCCGGGCGA